ATTAGTTATTGTTTCGATAAAACCATTCGTTTAGTTTAGATATCAATTTTAATTATCAAAGCACAAAAAAGAAGGTAAGCATTAATAATATGGATTAGTACAGCCCGCGACAAAACTATAGCACACTTTGTATTTTTTTACGAAAATTACAAAATTGACCAATTTTGACGAAAATTAAAATTGACCAATTTTGAACCCAATATAGCGAACCTTGCAAAAAAACACCAGGCACACCCATCTCATTGATCAAGAAGCAGTAAATCTTTAGTTACTTTACTTATTATATCTACTTATGCATAATTACTTATTATTTAATAATAAGGTATTTAAATTTCAATATTAATATATTTTTCATAAAACTATTGTTACACAATGTACTATTACTTTAATAAATGTTTAAAATCATAAAATAAATGTACAAACACAGTATCTAATAGAGTTTTATTTTAATTAACAGAAAATTACTTTTGCGGGGGTCGATGGAGATTTCGAAAAATTATATAGGGGTCGATAATCAAAAAAGTTTGGCGACCCCTGATTTAGATGATTGTGATAATAAAAACGAAGATTTTCCCATATGGGCTATATTAATCCTTTCGCGCCGACTGTCACAAATACGAGCAGCATAAAACCGTATCAATCAGGGTAAAAAGATAAAACTGGTAATCAAAGTATTTCCTTAGCAATTTATTTGTGGGCGGAGTTATAATTGCTTGATTTATTTAATTCACAATTACTTTGTTCAAAATAAAACTATTTAGTTATACTTTGAATTAACATTGATTATATATATGATTAAACTAACAATAATTAAAGTAAAAGCAAAGTAAGTCTGTNNNNTGGCTTTTAAGTCTGGTTTTATTTAATTGCAACTTGATTCTGATTTTGTACGAATGCTTTTCTGAATCACCCGTCCCCAAGGGGTTAAATAGAATTTCCAAGGAAGTATAACGTGAAGAATTTACCAACTAAAAGAGAATTAGTTTCGAAGAGTTAAAGAAAACGATTAATAGATAGCTTTTGAGGAATTTTTTCTACATTATCAGAATGTATTTAAAGATTGGGAGAATTTAAATATTATTGAACATGTTCCAGGTTTCGAATTGGAAAAGGAATGTCTTCATTTATTCCATAAACCGGTATTTAAATTTAGAAAGCCTTACTAATAAAATTCGACTCGTTTTTGACGCTCCGGTCTCTGAGAAATAGCAAGGGAAACCTTAAATGGGTGTCTGTTAAAGGGAATTAATCTCATTAAGTTAATACCTGATATTCAAGATCGGTATAGAATAAATACTATCGGTATGAGCAACAACAACTCATATTTTTGGGAGGGGGAAATTCCAAGTTTGCTGAATGAAACCCCCCATTTTCCGAAAATTTGACGCACATGGAAAATATTCAGAAAATTCTTCTTTAATATAGACTGTGGAAATATCATGTTTTGATTAAATAAATCTCAAATAAGACATTCTTTGAGCACTTTTCAACAAATAAGGGCATTTTCAAAACATTTGACGCCCATATTTTAACTTGAAACCAGTTTTAAAGGTTCGCCTTTTTCAAAAATTTTTTAAAAAATTCAAAAAGTGTCCGCTCTATTGATTCCTTAACATGGACTGTGGAAATATCAAGCGATATGGAAAAATAATTTCATTTATAGATATACTTTGAGGACTTTTGGACAAATATGGGCATTTGAAAAAAAAATTGACACACATTGTTTAAAATTAAACTAAGAATTTGGCTCTTTTCAAAAATTCACAAAGTGTTCGCTCTATTGCTTCTTTAATATAAACTGTGGAAATATCATGTTTTGATTAAATAAATCTCAAATAAAGACATTCTCTTTGAGCACTTTTTAACAAATACGGGCATTTTTAGAAAGTTTGCACATATTTTAACATGAAACCAGTTTTAGGAGATTCGATCTTTCAAAAAAAATTTTTAAATATTCAAAAATTGTCCGGTTTATTGCTTTTTTGGAAAGCGGAAGTATCACGATATGGTAAAAAAAATCTCATTTAAAGACATACTTTCAGGACGTTTGGATTAATATGTGCATTTTCAGAAAATTTGACTAACATATTTTAACATGAAACCAGTTTTAAGAGATTCACTCGTTTCAAAAAATTTTAAAAAATTCATTAATTGTCCGTTCTATTACTTCTTTATTTTGGACTGTGAAAACATCATGTTTTGATTTTTAAAAAAAATCTTATTTAAAGACATTCTTTGAGAATTTTCGACAAATTTGGGCATTTTCAGAAAAAAAGGCCCACATATTTTAACATGAAATTTGTTTTAAGAGCTTCGCTCTTTCGAAAAATTTTTAAAAAATACACAAATTGTCAGCACTATTGATTCCTTAATAAGGACTGGGGAAATATCATGTTTTGGTAAACAAAAATCTCGTTTAAAGACATTCTTTGAGCATTTTTGAACAAATATGGGCATTTTCAAAAGATTTGACACATAAATTTTAACATGAGACCAGTTTTAAGAGATTCGCTCTTTTCAAAAAATTTAAACAAATTCACGAAGTGTCCGCTCTATTGCTTGTTTAATATAGACTGTGGAAATATCATGTTTTGGTAAAAAAAATCTCATTTAAAAATATTCTTTGAGCACTTTCGGACAAATATGGTCATTTTCAGAAAATTTGACAAAAATATTTTATCAGGAAGCGAGTTTTAAGAGTTTCGCTCTTTTCAAAAAATTTAAAAAAATTCACAAAATGTCCGGTATATTGCTTCTTTAGAATGCGGAAATATCATGTTTTGGTTATAAAAAAAAATAAATAAAAGAAGAAGAAAACTCATTTAAAGACATCCTTTGAGCACTTTTGGACAAATATGGGCTTTTTCAGGGAATTAGACACGTGCGTCTAATTTTAAAAAATGTACATTTTTTAACATGTAAAGCGTTTGACTCTTTTCAAAAATTCACAAATTGTCTGCTCTATTGCTTTCTTAATATGAATTGTGGAGATATCCCGTTATGGTATAAAAAATCTCATTTAAAGACATTCCTTGAGAATTTTTCAAGAAATAAAGGCAGTTTCAGAAAATTTACTTGCTTTATAAATCCGGAAAATTCCAAATGAAATGTTCTTCGTTAGAAAATTTCATTCTTAAATAATATATACATAGATTATCCCTTCATTATTCCCTTTTAGATGACATACTACACAACAAAATTCTATAATTGTAAGATCTCGATATGAATTTCAATAGCTTAAAAGCAGAATAGCTGAATTCTAGTTGAAATTATTCTTTCAAAATTAAAAAATACTTACCGAGAAAACGATAAAAAATTGATTAATAGTCAACACAAATGATACTATTTCCAGTAATTCGGATAATTCTTTATTGTTGTTTTCCGAATTATATTTACAGAAATATATACTATTCGTAAAGAGGAATATTCTATTACTAATAAAGTTCTATACGTTCTGAAATCATATTTATTCATTGGAATACTAAGAAATATTGACTTCACTTTTATTTGCAATGAATTGAAGATACTAAAAAAAAAAAAAAAAAATTGCAAGTTTGTTGACAATAGAAAGGTAAAAGTCCCACAGTGGACTGATCGTTAAGACACGGTTCCCAGCAGATCACCGAAGTCAAGCATCACTGGCTACGGTCAGTGTGCGGGCGGGTGACCACTTGGATCAGCCTGCGTAGGGACCGAGGGTGTGCGGTATTGATATTCGTTAAACTGTTCTATCGTAAAGTGCTCGACTTCGCGTGCAGGTCGTCGGGCTACCGAAGCGGGAGTGTCACCCACTCTGCAGAGGATCAAAATTGTGATGACATGTCTTCAGATCATCCTCAGGGATGTTTCCCAGACCGTCGCCAATAGCCCATTGTGCAGCTCTAGTGCGACGTAAATGAACAACAACAGAAAGGTAAAAATTATTGGGAAATTGTTCTTCAAATGTTTGGCGTGTTCTGTTTCGGAAGGACTTGCATATGTTCTGGGTAGTTTCCTCAAATTCTTCTGCCTTTTCCTTAGGAAAATTTTTCTTCTTATTTGATGCTAATTAAAATAACGTCCTACTCTGTCACTGATTATGATAGATTTAAATGAAAAATTAATGAATAAAAGCCTGAAAATATGCTCGCCGCTAGAGGACGTATTCAAGCGTTGCGATCGCGAATAACAAAACCTTCTAGCTATAGATTATCAAGCCAGCTTTTGTTTATATTAAGTCATCACGCATCAAGCTGCAAACTTAATTTTGTTTATATAATATTCACAGAGCCGACCGGCTTGTGAAAGGGTTAGGGAACTGCCCTTGCATCAGAAGATATTTGGTCAATTTAGGAATTGGTAACTGGGCGGAGTGAGCTTGACGCTAGCTTTTATCCATCAATCTTCTTATAACCCTATATTGATTGTGTGACCAAACTTTTTCGCCAAAGCAATTGGCGTTGTTTAAACAAAAGCTATTGTTAGAGGAAGCCATTTTCTGTATTTGGCTGCGCGGGATTTCATATTTTATCATCATGAAAGTTTTAATTACAGGTAATTCTTATTAATTAAAGATTTATAATATTAGTGTACGTTTCATAGCAGTATATAAAAAAATTACATGAAATTTTTAAAAAGATTAATGAATTTTATTAAATATCTGTGAATACCACGCGTTAGATTTTAAAGTAAATAGTTTGTAAAATGTATGTATTTTAAGAAAATCGTTATAAAAATTCATTTATCAAAGTTTTTCTCTGCTTCCTTNAATTTTGTTTATATAATATTCACAGAGCCAACCGGCCTGTGAAGGGGTTAGGGAACTGCCCTTGCATCAGAAAGGTTCTGGGTTCGAATCCCGGTCAAGGCCAGTAAAACTGCCCTGTAAATGCCTGAACTGACGAAAAATGTTAACACAGGTGGGCATTGGAAAAAAAAATATTAGCAACAAGAATATTCCCTAGGCAAAACCAACCAAGCGAAAAGACGAAGTTTTGCTTAGGATGTTTTAATATTGGCAACAACTATTTTAATCTTGACAGGAAACTAGCTGCCGCTAGCCGGTGAACAGTGGAGGATGTGTATTTAAATTTTTTTAATCTTTAATTTAGAGCATTATTTTAAAAAAAAAACTTCGAACTAAAAATAATTCTTATGAAGATCGAAACGAAAGATGACGAATCTATTACAGGCTTCATGTTCGGACTAATATTATTGGGGCCAGCTGTCGGAAAAGTGAGACCGGTGTTTTATACACACCTGCTTTATTTCATTGTTTACTAAATATCGTGTTTTAATATTTATATGAAAAAGAAGCAATGATTTTTTAAAAATATAAATTTATAGCTCGAACTTTCAAAAAATTTTTTATTTTAGGAATTCTATTTTATTATTAGGATGAAAATATATCAAATTCAATATAGATTTCACTCTTATTAGCATTTTCATTGCTGTTTTGTTTTCTATTTGCTAGAATCGGTCTAACTAATTAAATATGTATCGTTTAAAAAAACTTTACTATTGAACTTTATGCAGTTATTTCGATATTTTAAGTATTTTCTGTTTTATTATAATGAAAGTTAATCAGTTTTACATGTATCAATATATTTATTTTCTCTTTATACTGTTCATTTTCGTTTTAATTATTGTTCTGGGTTCCATTTGTAAAAGTTTTTGAATACATATCTGAGTAATTACCTGAATATTTAAATATGTATTCTTATAAACCCAATAGATCTTTTATATATAGCTATTTTTCCCACTCTTAATTAGGTTAGTATTACAACTGCTTGAAAATCTCTGAAACTTTCAGTTTTGCATAAGAGGGAAGGGGCATGTTTTATATAGAGCATATTATTCAAAGCGTTATTTTAAAAATGTGGTTTTAATCTGAAAAAGGGTTTTTTATTTATAAAACACATCACAAAGCTATTCATGTAAATCAACCATTTTTTTAGCTATTATATTTTGTTTGCTGCATATTAAATCATGTTTGTTCCAAGAAAATTTGATTTTATAAATCAGCCAATTTTGTAAGTCAAAGTAACAAAGCTAATGGAAATCAAAATCTTTTTAAATAAAAATAAAAGAAACTGGAAAATATCGTAAGTACATTCCTATACAATTGAGAAGAGGGGGAAGGTCAAGATATGGAACCGTGTCTTCACCCCATATGGCGTATTCGAGCATTGCAATCGCAAATACTAAAATCTTCTCTACTGATATTCAGAGGAACTGTTGGGCAAAGACATTTTTTTTACCAATTTGTCCAAACAGCAAATCAATTAAAATTGTTATGTTTAATATAGTTTAATCAAAAATATCAGAATCTTTATGAATATTATTTTTAAGGTGTAATTTTGTTAAAATGTGAACTTTAATTGAAATGTATATTTTATCGAATTAATATTTAATGGTATTCAATATTTTATTCCAGCTTAAATATACTTTGATGGATAAGCAAGATATTACACTTCTCCAAAATCACCAGTTTGAGGTAAAAATAAAAATACAGCATTAGTTTTATTTCAAATAATTCTTATTATCTCTATTCTGCAATAAGTGTTATAATTTTGCTAAATAAATTCATTATTAACCTCTTAACGGTAGTATAAATTTGAAGAAAATAGTCTTTAATTCAAGAAAATTTTATTAAACTAAATGCATGTACGGTATATGTATTCATTTTTAATATTGAGGTAAATTTTTATCTTTCATGCTTGAAGAGTGCTGACATCTAGTTTAAAATGTATAATCTCCTTCTAAGCACATTATACATAGTCTGGTGTATAAGTTGAGAAATAAGCATGAGAAATAGATTGTTTTAATCTTTTTTGGTGCATTATTTTTGAACTATCCAGGCACAAGAAATAGAAAGCGAAACATCACCCTGTCAATTTCACTTGAGTTAGAAGAAAGGGGTTAATGCTATTTTCAATAATTCTAATAATTTTCTAAGTTCAATGTTATAATGAGCACTATTTTTAGAATTTGATCAGAAAAAGTTAACATCTTTAAAGATATTTATTTCTCTTTTAGCATATTGTTTGTAAAAGAAATTTATTCTGTCATAATTTTAGAATTAAATAAAGAAGAATAAATTGTCAAGAGGAATTTTTGATGCAAATTTTTAACTGAATAGAGGAATTTTTCAATAAAACTTTAAAAATCTTAAAGAAATCTTTTTATGTAAAAAAATATATATATATATATATTTGAAATGTGTGTTTCTTAATTATTTGGGTTGAAAAAGTATGTATAAAAAGAAGACTGTGCTTTGGATAATTAATAATGTATGCAATATGACAAAATATTTTTATAAAAGTAATGTGCTATAATTCATATTAGAATCTTAAGACTTGAGACTTTTAAATTACACCTGTTTTAATCATTCTGTGTAAGATTGACCAAGAGTTAATTTTCTTATATCCTACTTTGAAAAGTGTATTTTTTTTTCTTTAAAAGGCATTTATTACTTTTTATCTTGAAATATTTATATGGAGCATGAATAATTCAAAAAATTTTAGTACATCCTAAATAAAATACCCTATAGATTATTGTTATATTTTGTTGGGAATACATTTTTAAAATTAAAAAATATATAAATAATAATGAGAATTTTGTTTTCAATAATTTTTCATGTTTGTTTTTATACAATGTTTTTCATTCAAATAATTTCATTCTAAAGTCTGTTTAATACATTTTTTTTCCTTCATATTATTTTGATTAGTTTATATCTTCATGTTTTTTTTTAGGCATTTGTTGATATAGATAGAAATGGGCAAGGTGCCCATGTTTATGCTTTCGCTTTTGATGTGAGCAAAGGAAAAAAGTTTGGACGCTTTGTACAAGATATACTCTGGTGACTATAAAAGTTTTTTACAATAATTAATGATTTATCACTGAGTTAGAAGTGACTTTTAGTTATGACATTCATATGTTTTAATGGTTTATAACAAGGTTGGAGTTTTTGCCGGCAAAAAGGGGTTTTCGCCAGGACAGTGGCAAAAACCGGCAAAAACTGGTAAAAACCGGCAAAAACCAAATAATCTAAATTGCTGATTAAATATTATTACAAAATACTTGAAACAAATTTAAATCAATCATAAGGAGGTAATTGTTCTCNTTTTTTTAGGCATTTGTTGATATAGATAGAAATGGGCAAGGTGCCCATGTTTATGCTTTCGCCTTTGATGTGAGCAAAGGAAAAAAGTTTGGACGCTTTGTACAAGATATACTCTGGTGACTATAAAAGTTTTTTACAATGATTAATTATTTATCACTGAGTTAGAAGTGACTTTTAATTATGACATTCAAATGTTTGAATGGTTATAATCATGTGGAACTGAAGTTATAAAACGAAGCTCAACTTTAAAATTCATGTATTTGTTACCTCAAAATTATTTTTGTATTTTACTATCTATTAATGCTACACTATTAATGTTGTCTATAAAAAGATTTTTAAACTAATAATTAATGATTTAGCTTTAAACTGTTTATTATGAACTTATTTTCATTGCTTTATTTAAAAACTTTGAAAACAAATTATCTAATTTATGGCTAAATATATCATTTTCTTGTAATCTAAATGTTTTTATACCATTTTGCATTTATTTATTTATTTTAAGCTTTTTAACTATTTTTATTATTTAAGTATAATTAATTTTAAAAATATGTTTAGCATTATATATTTATATCAGACTTCTTTAGATTTTTTTAAATAATTAATCCTTGTATCTGATGAAATAAAGTTGATTCTCACCAAGAAATTTTTGACTGTTATTTATTATTTTGATTTATGTATTCATTATTTTGCTCAGTAAGTTTGAAATATATGGACTATTTATGATTGTAATACTACCAGATAATATTTAAAATCAATAAGAAATATTTAAAAAAAATAATAAAGCGGTTTTCTTTATCATACTATGGAACTGATTTACTACATTACTAGTTCCATTATTTCCTCTTTTTTTTTTAAACACATTTAGGTTTGTGTTAATTGGAAGTTGATCAATAAACAGTATGTTTTATTATATTGCATGTTTAATTTATGTTTGAAAGATTTTAAAATTATTTATACTGTAAAATTTTTTATAGCTTTAAAAGTAATGTATTTAATCATTTGTCTATCATTAATTATGAGAAATAAGTTAGTAATTTCATTTAAAAAAAATTTTTTGTGTTAAATTTCTAATTTTTTGTGTAGGGAAATCCATTTTGGTGGCATTGCTCCAGGCTACAAAGTAGTTCATAGAAATGGGATCTCAGTTGATAACAGATTGGAAAATCTATCCCTCAGCCCTATGGGGAATAGTCAAAATCAGTACATCAGTCAGAAATGTAATGAACCTTCTCTGTATTGGGCTGCAGTGGAAAAGATGCCTCATGAGGTAAAATAGAGCTTTCTCTATTTGTAAGCATAACAATTCTAATCATATACTCCAGGCTCAAATATTTTTATACAATATTTGTACTCCGTGCAAGGATGTACAACTACTAAAACTTATTCTTTATAAATGATTATTGCACAAATCATTTTGTAATTGTTTAGTAAAATTTTATAAATGATAATAAATTAACTCTTTCATCGCAATGGACGAGATGACTTGTCTTCCAGGAATATTCGCTGTGCTCTATTGCTGTATTAATGAATATGGTTATTGATGATTATTATTTTTTATAGTAAAGCAAACAAGTTAAAAGGAACTCTAAGCGCAGAGGATGAAACAAAGGCGCATCACTGAGGTGATGAATGTGTTAAAAGATAAATTACTTCCTCAATCATCCCTATTGTTTTCATAAATTTTATTTAATTTTCTATTCATAATACTAAATACATGCCATTGCTGAAATAATTTAAACCAATATGAATTCTAAGAATTTTACTTTTTTCCTCCTGGATCGTTTCTATGAAATATCTAATTTTTATTATTATGGTTTGCTTTTTGAGTTGCTTATTATTTTTACTGTAACAATTTAATTCTTAGTTGAAAAGAATATTGTAGAATTTTTTATTTGTTTTGTTATTTGTACTGTCAACTCTTTTGTGTCTCTTAAAGTTCTTAAAATGTCTTAATTTCATAAACCTCTTAAGACCGTTAAAAAGTGCTTATTAAATCCTTTTTTGGATTTATTAAACAAGTCAATTTGTTTTTAGTAAATACAAGTTTGTTAAAAACATAAGAACATGCAGCATAATGACTGAAGAATAAAATTAAAAGTCCAATCTAAGAAAGTGCTAAAGCAGCATATACCTAGATTTAAAAATTAGAATACTAAACTTAAATTAAAAGATAAAAGTTTTAAAAATGAAATTAAAAAAACATCAAAATAATGAGAATACAATACAGAACTTCTTCAGGGGGCACTTTTTTTTCTTTCCTTATAAAAATTAAATAAATTTTTTTTTAATATTGTGTCACATTTATTAATTGAAGGGCAAAACAAATTGTAAACCAAAATTGAACCAAGTATACTAGTAAAAACTAATCAGAAAACAAAATACATAAGTTTAATTAAGATTGAAATAGAAAATGTGTTAAATTAGAATTCAAAAATTAATTTCAAGGTTAATTTTTAAGTTTATTAATAAATTCTTATGCAATTCAGGTGCCAACATGTTCTTAAAATAAAATAAGTTTCAAAGAAAGAGTTGAAATTCATAACATAAATCTATTTTCATTTTATTAAATTTGCAAATTATTGTATCTTATTTAGCATGAAACTTTTTCTTTTTAGGCAGAAGTATTGTACATCAACCTATTTAGTCCTCAAGAAGAAATATTTTTACAAAGTAAGATTTTGTTTAGAAATAAATAATGACAATATTTAAAAATCCTTTTTATCCGGTGATTCCTTTATAATGTGTTTAAATGTAAATTATAATGTACTTTTCTGTAAGCTTCAAAAAAGGAAACAAAAATTACATTCCTCTCTTAAGCATATTGAATTTTTTTAAAAAAAAGAAGTTTTGCAAAGTGAGTTTATCTGTTCGTTTTATTTTAATAACTGTTATCTCCGTTTATTCAGGATTCTTCATTTGAAATATTTTTTCTAAACTTTCAGAGTTATAGGTTGTATTCTCTTTGAAATAATAATCAAGCTTTGAAAAATAATTATTATTTGCGAAATTTTACTATTATATATTAGTATTGTTGTCAAGAAGAAAAAAAAGTGGTTGTCACAATTAATAACTTCGCTCAAACAAGTAGAAATGATTTTTCTACCATTTTTTTTTTCTATGTTGATCCCCGGTTATTATTTCCCTGCATTCCCTGTTTGATGTGTGATAATACAACACGATTTGATAGTTAAGTGTTGAGAGTCAATCCTGATTAATTTCTGCTTGAAAAACTGATTTTTTTTGTGTTTTTAAATGGAAATTTGTGCATAACAGAAATTTCAGCACAGTTTTACCTAGGGCTTAAGGTTTAAAGAAATAAAATTTTTGTCTCAATTTTAACCAATGTCAATTTCAAACTACTTAAGTAATATTCTTTTATTTCAGAAAATGAACGATATTATGAGTGTCACTATCCCCCATGTTCAAAGATTGAAGCTAGACCTCAAGAGTTCAGTATTTGTAGTTTGTGTCGAGTAACTAGATATTGCAGTTCATTTTGTCAAGCTAAAGATTGGAGGTGGCACAAACCTACATGTATCACAAGACCACGCCCCATTTTGAAAGATGAACCTGATCGGTGATTGCTTATCAAATTAGAATTTATAATTTACCCTCATTGGTTCAACTTTTTCTATGCAAAAAAATTTTTAGGAGTCATTTTATTGTTCAATTTTTGTGTTGGTATTTAAATTTAACTTAATAACCTTTTAACAAACGTATTTTACATGTGCTGTCTTTTTTTTTTTAATGCAACTTTTCAGTATTAATGGAGGATCTTAGCAATGTTATAGCCTTTATTACACGTATAGTACTTTTATACATGTGTTCCTATGTTTCTTACCAAAGTTTGCCACATGTGTTTTAACATTTTTCCAATGCTTTTAATGTAAACCTTATGTTCTTATTTATTGCATATGCAAGCAAGTAAGGTGTACAAAATAATGTGTTCATTGCTTTCCATTGTAAAAATATCATTTTATGTATGGTATAACTATTTACATGATTTATACAAATTTATACCACAAGATTTATATTTTTTCAGATCAATTTGTATTGATTAAATAAAGTATTAATATATTAAAATGTCTATTCTTTGTTGTTTTATCTATAATTCTTGTTCAAAAGTAATTTAGAGGATGATCTGGCAATTCACCATTTAAAATTTTTTAATAAGATATACTGTATTGTTGATTTGAATAAATAATTTTTAAAATTAGAAGAAAGAGATAAATTCATAACTGTGAAACTACATAATTCCACCTTAGAAAATTTGTTACTGCATTTGCTTAAAATAAAAATACATGACCCCTGGATTCATCACTATATAATTTTGTAGATGCAAAGTTTATTCTTCTTCTAAAATGACTGAATTCTTAAGAAGTTTGAAAGAATTCTGATTAGGTCATAAGCCTGGATCATTTATGTAAGTGTCCAAAATTAAAGTCACAAACATAAAATTTGTGATAACTGATGAACTATACACTGTGTTGCTAAAAAAATTGGCACAGAGATGTATTCTAATGAAGAAAAAAAAAAGGAATAAAACAAAAAAGAAAATATTTTGGGAATTGTGGAACAGAAGTATTTATATTTGGAGAAAGTATAGTATGAAATGTTGTCACCATGCTCTGCTATGCATGCCTTACACAGAGTTCTCATAATCTATGAGGATGTCAAGAAATTCTTGTGGCAAAAACTCATTCCAATACAAGAGATCCGGAGGTCTTGTTCATACAGCAAATAATCTTTTCAAGAAAATTGTCAACTTAGTGGGCTCTGTGTGGCTACGAATTATTCCTAAAAAAAAAGTGCACCACAAAACAGCCTCACTTAGGCTTCCAGTGATGTCATCTCTATAGCTATGAGCTGTGACAGTACCTGCATCGAAGATGTGCAGAAGTGAACAACTGTCAAATAGACGAGGATTCCTTTATCAAAAAATCTGTAGTAGATGTTTATATACTGTTTGCCTCAAAATTCTTCTGAGAAGCCTTTGCCAACCTATGACAAGAGCTTAATGCTACGTAGTGATCCTGTACATGAGGCCTTTCTGGTGATAGTACCTCTCGTTTTGAATTGATTCCACAATATGGATACTGCTTTCGGTGCCACTTGTCTTATGTAACTATGTTTGTAACCTTAATTTTGGACATCAGTGCATATTAGGATATAGCAAGAAATTTCTTTTTTAGTAGTGACAAAAGCTTGACTCAACCTGACAAAAAGCAAGTTTTAAAATGTTTTTAATTTGAGTGTCTACATTTGATTTGAATATTATTAAAAAATTCCAATTTCTCCTGATTTGTTTTTAAAAAAATATTGTTTTCTTAACAAAAACAATTGCTTTGCAGCAATTAAAATGGATACTACTCCTTAAAATGTATTTTAAAGATTTTTTTTATTTATAAATATCCATTTAAGCACTAGAAATAATTTTTTAACTTCTATCAAGAATATGCGTCAAAAAGTAAAATAGGGATATAACATTAAAAGTTTAGATTTGTTTTATTTTAACAAATATTGAACTGAAAGATTATATTACCAACCTGTACGGATGTTATCAAATTTTATAATTTGGTATGGATATCAGCTAAAGCTCAAAACTGATACTCTGGAAGAGTGATAGAGTCGCTGCATCAATCGTGTTGGCAGTTCTTCATAACATTAAGTCATACATTGAAATAAACTAATTTGCATCATAATAGAGCAGATAAATCAAGTTCTTAGTATTCTGCTTTATAGTTTTATGGGGGGAAAAGAATAAGGTTTTGAAAATAATAAACGAATTAACAGTTGTTGAATGCAATAATAAATAAAGGGGGAAAAGGTAGTTTTTTTTTACTGCTGTAAGAAATATATTGAAACCAGCATTTATGTCTTTGACACGTAAATAAATTACTCTTAACAAAACACTTTAATAAAGTCTCGATGGAACAACTCTTAGGTTTGTGGTTAATTTTGAAACATTAGTAAATTGCTAAAAAATTGTGAAAAAAAAGCATATTTTTAGTGTATTATGGGATATAGTGTGCTATTATCGATGACTAGTTCTGATGAACTTTTAAATAATAAAAAAAACAGTAGCACAACAGCTCATGCAGGGCCAAGGTCTGTGCTTATTTTAGTCAAGTTTTCTTCACCTTGGGTGCAAAAGCAGATGTTCTGGTTGGGTGGTAAGCCAAACGCGAAACCCCACTGTTTAGTCCCCAAGCATGCTTGGTACTATTATAGGATTCACTGAAGGGATGAAAGGCCGAGTCAACTTTACTGGCTTAGGACAGAATCCAGGACCTGTAGCATGCAAGCGTTGCCACCAAGAACTAATACAATATTAAATAGGCCGTAATAAGCGCATAGTAGTCTACTGATCTAGCAAACATATTTATAGGGAAAACACTCTACAGTTAACAAATGAATATTAGGGTGATAAAGGCCTCAGATAAGCTAGTGTTTCTTAGACTTTATGCGTCTTGATTGTTGGAAAATATAATTCGTCCTTCATGTTAAGATGATACTTTGCTTTTGAAAAAATTGGTTTTTAATTCTTGATTCTCACCTGAATTAAAATCGGTAATTGATCTGAATAGCTATTTTTGAACATAATGAGAATATTTAATTGTATATGTTTTTTGACCCTAAAAACTATAAGGATCATATGATCAGGAAACAAAATTATTTAGAAAAACTTTCTTTTATTTTTGAGAAAATTAAAAAAATGTTATGATAAAATTCAAAAGGTTATAACGGAAAAAACAGATATAAAGAAATTTTCGTCAATATTTAGTAGTAAGTGAGCTTAAAGATAGCATTAGACTAGTTTTTTGTTATATTTTAAGTTTTAGTATACAATTATTACTTATTTGCTCATTTCTGTCTTATATTCAAAATAATAAAGTTTTTATGTAGAATTAATAAACGATAGTTCAAGTTTTATTTATATAACAGAGAAAATGTATATTTTTAAAATAAATATGCCAGTAGAAGTAAATTTGTAATAAAGCTTTTTTTTTCAATTATGAAATTCTCTAAGGATGGTTCAATTTAATTTCATTATCATAAAAAAAAAAAAAAAAATCAACAAGAAAATTTTGTAAAACAGAAGTCAGCTTAATTGTAATGTATATAATTAGTAGAAGGTCTTTAAGCTTGAACATTTTAGGATTTTTCCCAGTATTAATTAGTTTTTCCATTCATAAACTATGACAGAAAAATAACAAATGTATTACGAAATTAAAAAAAAAAAAAGAGGAGATGGATTTCACACCTTAGTAGTTTTCTTATAATGTAAAAAGATGCGTTGAATTTGGTTTCAAATCAGGAACTTATGTAACCACTCTATCAACCAATGGAATTTTTTTTTTAACATTTTACAGTCCAAGACACATTTAAGTCAAAAAACATATTTGAAATATCTAAATATAAATCTTTATTTATTTACATAATATGCTTACACCATCTAAATATACATATATTAAAAATTCAAAACAATAACAAATTTAGACAAGGTTTATTTAACATATGGCAACCACACATTATATTATGCAAGTCAATAGATCAAACAATTATTACGTACATAGGTGTTGAAATAAAATAAAAAACTTCATTCAAATATTTTTTTAACCTTTTTGAAGTAGTAAAAACCAAGTGAATCCCTTTTTATTGAAAGTGAATGGTTAATGGAAGCCAGTTCTTAACTTTTCAAAAAAATATATTGAATTAGATAAAGTACTTTAAAACATGCAATAACTTATTTCACACGAGAGTCCAAGATACAAATGCGTTACAAAAGTAGTACAAGAAAAATATCACAATAGAAGGCCCCTATTTCACCATATTCCTCTTAATAAACAGACTAGAAATAGGATATTTAGTTCACAGTTGCATTATGTCATCAAGAAGCTGTTTTAAAGATATTAATGTAACTTTAGCAATTAAATTATGTAGCTAGAAAGTTAAAATGAATATAAATTTTTTCAGGTCTGATATGGAGATTATTGTAGAGATGAGATCAAAGTTTTGAAAAGAAAAAAAAAAGTCTAATGTGCATTAGTGTAACTTATAGAAAACTGAGTCCCGATAATCCGAATCTTAATTAACAGAGCCCTTAGTCTGAAGAGCAGCACAATAAATAGTGAAAAGTAAATAGCCTAGGAAAGACCATCTTTAGCAATTAAAAAAACAATTCAGAGTGCTTTTGTAAATTTTTTTTATAGATTTTATATCTACAAACATCATATGGTATTACAGCATCAGCTATGATATCTAGTATTAAAGAAAATGTCTCAGGCAATGTAATACTGGAATAATTCAATTAACTCAAATACTTAGGAGTATGTAATTAATGGATGGTTCTAAAATTATAAAAAAATACTTAAAATCCTTCGGTATTAGCTATTTTGCTAAAAATAAATGGACTTTACTTAGCAAAGATACATACACTAAGATATGTGCAAAGCAAAAGTAAATGGATAAGAGGCAAGAGGATGGGCTCAAGACAGAGGTGCATAGAAAAAGAGATTGGAGGCCTTATATGCCAGCTAGTGCAAAGAGGATAGATAAAAAGGTAACTTTTCAAATTAAAATGGTTTACATGTTTGATTGTTATCTAAATATAATTTATTCCCTCTTTAACAAATTTCATAAGAATCTACTAAATGTAGTGCAATTCAGTAGATCAATAAGTTTATTTAATAGCAAGAAACTGACTAGGATTAAAGGGACTGCAGTGCAATTCAATAGATGCTTGTATCCGCTATGCAGAAACTAAATCAATAATTGCACTTTAACCTACTGGCCTAATATAATAAGCGACATATTTAATATTCAGTAAAATCAATTTCACAAAGAATAAATAAAAATAACTTAAGAGCACTTTTTTTTAAAGAAAAGTGGAATGTTTTTAAATATGAGGTAAATAAAGTTTATTTCAATCAAAATGATGGCAGAAATATTTAAGAAACTTTTTGATCTTCAATATTCCTTTCTTTTGTCTAAAATAAATTAAAATAAAAAAAAAATTGAGGAACTAGCAAGTATAATGAGTAATGCAGCATTTTTATATGGGCATATAGCTGAAAAAGTTTAATTTTAGTGCAACTATAATAAAATGCATATCCTATTTTCACACTGTTATTAGTCTGCCTGAACATACGGGACAGGGATGAAAACTGTCCAAAACAGGTTTCTCTACTAAATTTGTGGTCTCTATGTCTGAAAGCAGTTTTATTATTTTTTTAGCTGTGGCATCAGGCTTGGACGTGTCTGAGTCAGAGGAATCATCATCTTCAATGTCACCATTTAAATGTTTTTCACAAATGTGATCATGCGAGTCATGCACTGAAATAAACAAAAATTAAAAGTGAATAGTATATTCAGTTCTTTTAAAAAAATATTATAAGATATTAGTTGTTAATGTATAGAGGCATTATAATCGATTTTAGAATGAATAATCGGATTTTCAAAATTAATTATTTAACGCTTTAATGATATTGCATTGTAAATCACACTTCAAACTTGCATACGATTATTTTCCTGCATGACAAACTAGTAGAATGTTTAAAATATGCAAAAGTCCTCTAAGTATTAAAAAAAAAATTTAAATTCAGTTTTGGTGTGAAATTAAAGCATTCTTTATTCCTTTCTTCTCTTAAAATAAAATAAAATAAAAAACGATTAACCAACTTTAAGAAAGTTTGCATGGTAACAAAAATCTACACATTATTCATTGGTTTATATTAATACAAAATGTTATGCTGAATTATGAAATAAAAATGTGGGGTTGAAGAGAAAGCAGATTAGACAGGTTTGCATAATTATTAAATTTGTAGGGTTACAGATTTCATTTTTCAGAAATTTTCTTTTTTTGTTGTTGCTACAAATACCTGGTAACAGTTTCAAGCACGCTTAAGCCACAAATAATTATGTATTAAACACAAGACTATTCAATATCAAATAAAAGTAAATAATACCATAATTTTTTCTAAAGTAACTTGTAATTCAATCAATAATTCCTGTTACTTTTGATAACAATTTATAAATCACTATCTAAAGAATTTATTTATTAATAATATTCAAAATAAATAGTCTCATTGACAATATTTATTTATAGTAATCATAGAGTTGATAATTTTTTTTCTCCCAATTGTAACAATTTCAGCTTTCGTTCAGATATTTAAAATGAAGTAGATTGTTTCGATTATTTAGCTTATTTATGTTTATATCAAACCTCGCTATTTTGGATTTTAGGTAAAATTTTTGTTTTCTTCATATTTTTTCTTTACTTAACTTTTGAAGATATTTGAAAGCACAATACCTTAGAAAAATGGTAAAAATTAAGAGGTCATTATATTAAATTTAAAAAAATAAGGCTAGATAATTGTTAGAACTTCTATGAAATTCACCTCAAAACTTTAAAGCAATCAAGTTATGCGGTTACAAGTACTGAGCCAGTCATTTAAAACTACACATTGGTTGGTTTTTAAAATTTTATTTAATTACAGTTTAAACTGATGAAACCCAAATTAGGATGATGCTAAAAAATTTTTTTAGCGTGAATTGTACAACAATAAAGATATTTAATAAAAATTTAAAAACAGACAAGTGTATGCTGTTCAACAGTTTTTCAAAAACTGTTGATTGCACAATCACAATGGTGTAACTTTGTCAGAAAAAAATTAATAGAAAATCTAAAATACTTCATACTCTGGCTCAAATTCTGATTGCCTTGTATTTTACATGTTTTAAAAGAGACTGTGAAATGGAGTAAATATCAAACAGTTTATTTAAGAAAATTAAATAAAAGCGTGCTTAGTTAAGTTTGATTGGGAGGAGCAAGACCTCTTTATTTATTTATTCTTAGTTTCATCAAGTTTAAACTAAAAAATTAGTTTTATAGTAATTAGTTTTTATCCTTAAAAGCTTGAATGCAACTTTTTAAATACATACAGGTTGTAAGCATAATGCAAATGAACCATGTAAAAAAAACCAGTGGTTTGAAAAGATTTTTTTTTAAACTTCTATTTAGCTGAACAAAATTATTTGGAAATTATATTTAATACTTACACAATGCTTCATGGCTATCTGAGATATGTGGCATATTGATAAATCCTAAATTATCATTTAATAAATGTGGGTTAGACTGGAGGTGCTTTCTTTCTTCTAATAAACGCATGACAAGGTTTTGCAATTCGCCTAGTTTGGCCTGTAAAACATATCAAACTTTTGGTAACACATTCAGAAACACATTTAAATCATAGTAAAATAAATTGGATTACTATTTATTATTTATTAACATGTATGTATTTATTATTTATTTCTAACTACATTTATAACTCTTGATTTTTCCACTTTTAATAAATATTAATGCTTTGAAATTTCAATACTTCTCAATTGTGATAAAACATAATATATGAACCTTTTTTTTTAAATGGTGATGTATGATAAAATAACAATAAGTGAATAATTGTATTTAAGCATGCTTTCTGTGATCAAGTTTTGATTTTTGATAAAAACTATATAAAAAATATTATAAAATTTAGGAAATAAGAGCAAATAAAATTTTAACGATAGAAAATAGGATATATTTTGAATTAAATGTGAATAAAACTAAATATATCCAATATATTTCGCACAGAGAAAAGTTTTTGTTTATAGAACAGAAATTACAGTTCTTTCTTTTCTGCTTCATTCACATTTAGTTTTATTCAAATTTGAACCCTTTTTCCCCCAACATCAATGCTTATTTCACTTCCCTTATCAATTTGAAAAAGATTTTTTTCTTAAAACAACAAAACACAACTTTTGTGTTAAGTTTAAATTTTATTGTGATTTAGATCTTATTTACTAGCCAATAAATGTGAGAATAAGCAAAAGGTAATTCTTTAAGAAAAATTCTTTGAAATGAATAATAGATGAGTATCATAAGTAACTAGAATCTTTGCCAAAATAATAAAAAAAGGGGAATAAAAGAATAATTTCTTCTCTTAATCATCATAAATTATTTATTATGTAAAAAAAATTTATGTAAAAAAATGTGACCTTTAAATCTTCTCTGTCTCTTGCCAGTTGTGCAATATAATCATCTTTTTCAGAAGCTCTTTTTCGCATCAAGCCCCTCTGAATTTGGTACAAAGCTATGTAATCACCTGCAACATTATCAAAGAGATAAATTACTTAAAAAAACATCTGCTTTTAACCTTAAAAAAAATTGTAAAACTAATATTTGGCAGCTTTCACTAAGTTTATAAACATTAAAATATGATTTGATACACTTAATTTTAAGATGCTGATTAACAAGAGTTTATTAAAAGCAGAGTCTACAAATCCAGAGCCATCAGTTGCTATAGTGCCTAAAAATAGTAGCTAGAAACCAATATTTTAATAAAATTTAACACAAAAAAATGATATGTTAACAGCATTTTAGTTAGCAAAATATAGGGTGTGCCTTAAGACTGCAAAAAGTTACTAAAAATAAGAACGAACTTACAAAATTAAATGCAATACAATACATTACATGCATACAAATACCACGTTTGCAAAACTTGCATTATAAGAATCAGAGATAAAATTACTGTGTCCAAATTATATTTTACTAGACTAAATAAACATAAATGAACTATCTCTTAAAATGTTAAGGCAGTTTTATAAAAAAGTAATAAGTTTAGCTTTTCTGTTTTTTAAGACAGTAAAAATTAACAAAAATTTTGAAATAACAATGAACTAAATAACTAAAATACGTAAGTTTTGCATTCAATTAAAATATAAAGAACTACAAAAATTTGAATTCCAAATGAAATAAGAAGTTCGGCACTTTAGTAACAGCGATTAGATGTCAAATATACAGATAAGTTGCTGATTTTTAAGAAAGATAATTTTTCTACAAATTACTCAGAAGTGCATAATTATTAATTGTCATTATAATTCAGTAAACTTCATGCAAAAATTACAAACCAATTGTATCAGTTTCTCCTTGCAATTGGAGGACTAAATGTTCTAGTTGTTGCCTCTCATCAGAAAGTTCAGCAATTTTACTCATAGTCTGTTTAAACCTTTCCTATATTGAATAAAAGAATTGCATCCAATTATTTAGGAAATTTTTAAAAAATAATAAGCTTTCTTTAATATCTTCAGCATAAATATGATCCAAAATCTTTAGGCCGACAAAATTAAAAAAATTTAATAATTTTTTTTTTAAATATTTAAATGCAATTAAAGAATGCTACAAATTACTTTTACTAATCAACAAAAGCCAAAGATTTCTTAAAAATCTTTTTACAATCTTTTTTTAAACTTATTTTAAGATAACAGTGAAGATATGAACTCAGTTAAACAATTTTATAATCATACAGTACATACATTAAGAAGAAAATAATTAATTGCTTGCAGAAAGAATCTAGGAAAACCATTAAATATTTAAACAGTATCTACAGTTAATTACTAAATGATAATAAATAAATAAATATATTACTTCTAACTGAGTCATGGCACTTCTCATCATTTCATAATCTTTTCTGGATACAACATTACTTTCTGTGCCATCTATGAATAAACATAAATTATTACAATGACATTTTTTGCCAAGTGATACTAATCACTTACCAATGAATGCATAATAACTTACCCTCATGAAACAAAGTTTCTTGTTTCTTCATTTCTTCTTCTAATTGTAATCTACTGACTTTTTGTTCTTCTAATTGTTTCATCATTTGGTTGCGTTCCATCTCTAATTGTCGCACAGATGCGGATAATGATGCAACCTATCAGGAAAAATGTATAAATTATCGCGATAAAATAAATTTAAAATAGTATATTATAGATAATAAATAAAGAGAAAGAGGACATGGGATAAATTCTAATAATTAAACAATGTACAACACAATTTATTTAAATGTAAGACATTAAGGCATTATAAAAATAAAAAACATTTTAACCTTTATAAATTCACCATCTCAAGCATATTCAAAAACACAATATTCTCAAAATTTATTAAATTATATAATATACAATTAAAGAGTTACACAATACTTTTTGAATACTATAAATAAAACATGCTTAAATAAATGGAAATGTCTTAATCATTGAGAGAACAGTCAATTACAAAAATCTAAAAGTTAACACAATGTTTCAAAATAAAGTATTTAAAAATTGAAACAAAAAATACATAGCTGAAACTCAATATAACAACTTCTGTTAATCAAGAAAAATTATGATGAGAGTTAAATGAATAAAAAAAAATAAAATAAAAATTCTAGCGCATTACTTCAGACTTTTTTGAAAATTGATGTTATAAAATAAATTTTGAAAATTCCGTAATATATTATTAATAGAAAAACGTTACTTTATTTAAATATACAAAAATGCATGTGCATCTTTGTTAAAGACATTTATACAATAGTTAAGCTAAGATTGAATAGCTAGTAGCAAGTGCGAAAATAAAAATCTACTGACTGAAAAAAAAGCCTACTTTAAATGTACATTTAAGTAAGAATATAATTCTTAAAAATAAACAGCAATAACCTAGTAAAAATAAATCATGAAATTAAAAATATTGAAACTAAATAAAGAGAAATAAAACTAAACAAGAAATACAAAACAAATATTACTTATATGTGAATCAAAAATAAATCTTAAGTGGATTCACATTTCACACTAAAGGAATATAGACTGATAAATTTATTGCTGCACATGGAAACAATTATACAAAAATAATAAGTTTAATGAACATATTTAGTATATCTAGTAAATTGTTATAAATGGGACATAAGTTATGGAAACTCCATCTCTTTTTCAGTGATCTAGTATAAAAGTTTAGCCTTCTCAGAGATACGAAGCCACACTTATTGAATATTATTGCTTTTATAGTTATTATTAAGTAAACTTAAATGAATCATTATCATCATTGACTTTTCTTTTTTTATCTATGTTATTAGGTTAAGTAAAAATTGAAATTATACAATTTAATATAAAATTTGCCTTTTTAAATTACTTTTTAATAAGTATAAACTTTAAAATATTTAAAAAATCATTCTAATCAGTTGAGCAACTCCCCCTCCCCACAAAAAAATAAGGTGGTGGTTGCCAAGATTAAATATTTTCTGCTTGGTGGTTCGTGAAGATCAAAAGATGTATCATTACACAGAAAATTAAATATATATGTTCCAGAGTGTTACACTAACCAGATCATTACGCTTAGAGGAATCTTTATCTTCTCTCTGGTTTTCATCATCAACAGTAATTTCAGCTTGCTTTGCTAAAGCCATGCGTAAATCAGAATTCTGACTAGTCAAAGCATTTATTTGTTCCTTTAAAATAAACAAATGAGAATTTATCACATGACAAGTCCAAACATATGAAATTTAAGATTAAATATAAAAAATTTTTTTGTTTACCTGTGCTTGATGAATTTCACTTTGAAGCATCTCAGCCAAGTGTCCTTGAGCTTCATAGTGCCTCATTCTGTCTGCAATCTGGTTTTGTTGAAAAATTCCTTTTGTATTTGATTTATGGAGATTTTGGAGCTCAGATTCTTTTTGTGCCAGCTACAAAATAGAAATACAAAATCTGTATAACAGGTCTCCAACTTATTGGGCAAAGGAAAAAAAGCCTACTTATTAACTACTATTATAACTATCAGAAAGATGTTGTAATACACATAACAACAAACATAAGTAAAGATACATGTTATTGTGACGCATATTATAATAATAAAAAGGAGTGGCAATCATAGATAGTAACTTCCCCCAAAAAAGGCGGACAAAAATGAAATGCTTTTGTATGTTTGGTTAATTATTGCAGTAAAAGAAAATGTTGTTTTCATTATAAAGTAAAACTAACATTATCCGTCCTCCAATCATACAGCATTTTGGTTAACCGATAGTTTTTTTGCTGCCCATTGAAAAGGTTTTGACAAAATTTTCATCATTATTGCAGCTTTTGTTATCAAATTAATGATGTGACGATGAATCCAAAATATCCCTGATTATTCGACCCCAGATTATGTAACACTTCGATTAACTAACACCTTTTTTGATGCAGGTTAAAAAGTTTCTGGCAAAAACGTGTCATCGTTATCACAACTTTATATTTTCAAACATACCCCTGGTCCTGAGAGTGTCGGTTAATTGAGGTTCTATTGTATTTTAATAAGCAAATTTCAAATCCCAGTTATTGTTTCCAAAAGTAGCTACAACAAGCCATATGAAGAATTTTAAAATTGGTGGTTAGCAAAGTTAAATAAATTAAGCATATAAAAAAAGTTTATGCACTGAGAGATAGACATGGGAAATTGTGTAAATAATGAAATAATAGTACGTAAAAGAACTGAAGTAATATTTTTAAAAAATATTATTTTAATTCAAATAACATTATGATGTAAAATTATGATGAAAAAATTATGATGCAAAATATTTTCGATTGTTAAATAATTCTTGGTTATGTTTCTTTGTTAATCCAATAACAAATTATTACATTTCGAAAACCATCGTTCGGAGTGCACATTGTTTGTAGACATTAGCATACATCTGGATACCCTTAAAAATGTCATTTTATCAATGATCTATTCTCTATAATGCTTTATTAAATACACATTATCAATTTTGAACCTTCCAATATGAACAAATTTCCATTAAATGATAGTAATAATTTAAAAAACCTCAAAACTCTTAATAATTTTCTGCAAATCATAGCTAATATTCAGGAAACCTCCTAAATTCTAGAAAGAAAAAAAAAAGATAAAATCCTGAAATCATATAAAAAAATTGTACCTTGAAAAAATCTGCAACTCTAGTTTAATTAGGTAGCATTTGATTGATAGTGCAATTATTGACATTGGCATCAGAAATGACCAATATGTAAACTTTATAAATGCAGTAAAATTATTATTTTTTTACAGGAAAAATTCCAAAACAAAAGATACTTTGCCTGAAATATATACTTTTTTATTCAATTAAAATAGGCATCACCTAATAAAACAGAATCCAGTTAATGCAGATAAGAGATAGTCTCTTTGACAGTCTGCTATAACAAGTGACAACTGCAATAAGCTTTACGAAAGATTTAACTACTATTTATTTTAACACTGACGAATCTCAGATACATTAAAAAATCTTACTTGCTCTTGCAGTTCACGAAGTTCATCTTCTTGCTGACTTAATCTTTCACCAAGCTCTTTAGTTCTATGCTTTTCTGAGTCTAACCTTTCTGTAAGCTCTAGTTTGTCATTGCTCTAAAAATGTTCACAACAGTATTGTTATTGTGTTGGAAACTTTATTGGTATATTTAACAATAATAGGGTAAATGAAAATTACCAGAACAACTTTGACAATCAATATAACATGTAAAAAAATATCATACAAGAATAAAACTTATGAATAAACACATGAAATATATTTAAAAATATGTGAAGCAATAAGGGGTAAAATACATAAAAAAGAAATTTTATCTGTAATTTCATAAATGCTAACAGAATAGTTTAGCCATCTTATTTACTTCAAGATAATTCTTTGTCCAAAAAAATTCAAGTAAATTACATTTCAAAATAAAGATGTCCTTTTAAAACTAAATTATGTTTGTTCTGAAGCTAAAAATTATTATATTTAAAAAAAAAAAAAAAAAAAAAAAAAAAAATTNAAAAAAAAAAAAAAACAATATTTAGCTCTAAAGAGGTATAGATATTCAGTTAACATAGCTGCAGCAATAAAAATAAGTCAAAATTGTAACTTAAATTAGAAAATGAAATCTATAAACAGTAAATCTTTAGTAATCTATAATTACTAGTAAAAATGTAAATAACAATTTGCAGTGAGTGTAAAATTTTAATAATAATTACCACCTTAAAGGTTAACTTGAATCAATGAATAATATCAAAAAATAGAAAAGAGATAATAACCATTTCAACAAAACCATTTTGAAGCTCTTCTAGCTGTTTCTTTAACTCCCTATTTTGAGTAACAGCTCGACTGGCAGCAACTTTGTCACTCTGCATGGTTTCAACCAAACGATTTTGATCTACTTGATCATCTTTCATACGAGCAAGGATTTTTTCAAGCTCTACAACTTTTTCTTCTAGTCCTCTAATTTGATCACACAGACTTGAATTGGTAGCTACCTGAAATTATTATAATAATTCATAAACAAATAAAGTTGTCTGTGTAATAGAATCCTTTTAAAATGGTAAAGCTTAATGTAAGTAAGAGAAAATAATTTAAATAAACTTAAATATACTAATAAATTAAATAAAAAATAATTAATGACTCTAGAACTTGAAAACAACTAAGCAGAATTGTTCATAAAAATTACACTGCAATAATTTTTAGAAGCCAATAGAGTGTGACAGAAAAATTTCAGGGCTCCTATTTATGTATTAGGGATAATCAAATGAATCAGAGGTTATTCATAAAATGTATTTAGAGAAACTCAAAAGTATTGCCTAAAATTGTCAAGGAACTTGCCCCTTTACACATTATTTAAGCTAAGTTATACTCTTAAAAAAAAACCTTAGGCTGCTACGTGGACCAGTTACACAAGTACATCTCCACTTTGTTTAAACACTAATTCCTCGCAGCGCTTTTTCTTTCTTTCAGCTCATTGAAAATTTGGAGGTCAAGAAATGTCAATGCAGTGGGTAGTTCAAAATACTGCAAAGTTTGATTACCTTTCTGAGTTAACGTTTGCAAAAATGACTAATCATAAACTCTAACTCCTGGAAAACTACAGATAATACTGAAATTGGTTCCTTCATTACATGTCACTTTCTACAACAGAATGAAAGCGGACTGACAACTGCTCCGTTATCGTTTCTTTATCACTGCCTGAGTAAAAAAGCTCACAAGATTTTTTGTCACACAAACAACTACATTTTAAGCTAGTCTATTTTTTTTTAAATAAAATCATTTTCGTTTAATGGTCTCTGCCTGGTTATTTATTTCATATATTGTTTTCTATCTATTGAAATGAAGCTTAAATCATGCTTCCTTTAAATGTCATAATTATCAATTATTTGATAGTTAGACCTAATAACTTTATTTAATCTTATTAAATATGTAGTACAGAAAATTTTCATTAATTAGAAATTGTTATTAATTTACAGTGAGTGATAAATGCAAATTAAAGAGGTAATTAGTACATTCAGATTAAATTGTTTTTTGTGTTTTAATAACTATTCTTAGTGATTGAGTAAGTTAAATAAAATGCTATCAGTTAATTTACATAAAATAAAGGTCCTCAGCCTTGTTAACTTGCCCGCCTTGAATCAATCAGGCATTAATTATAAATTTAAATATTGAGATGAAAAGAACATATCAAATATATATTACATCAACAATGTACAAATGAAAAGCTTACTTTGATTGTAAAAATAGTTTATGCTCTTAAATTATTAATAGTTTATAAAGAATTAAATAATGTCAAACACACCTCTATTTGCCATTTTTTGTTCAGTTCTTCGTTATGATTCTTTAATACTGTTATTTGTAATTTTAGCTCAGCTGGATCCTCTTTGCTTAAAGCTCCTAAAAAATAAACATACTGATAATAAACAACTTTGTCAATTAATATAACTAAGCTCAAAGTCTCAAAACTGATAAAATTTCTACCATATTAATAACAAATACATAACAGCACAGTTAATTGTCATGTTATATATTTGTAATTTAAAAAAGTAGCAAAATAAAAATTTAGTTTAATATTGAATATAAAAAAGGAATACCTGATTGAGCTTTATGAGTTTCGAGTGATTCTTGAAGCAAATTCCTTTCCTTGGACAATTCCTCCTTTTCATTTCTTAGCTGCTTTAGCTATAAATGTAATTTTAAGAAACAAATTATTAATGCTATTACCATAAAACTGCCAAAAAGCAGGTAAAAAAATTTCATGTAGATATTATAAAACAAGCTTCGTAGTGGGTCAAAGAAAAAATCAGAACATTTTTTGGAACAATAAATATATATCAGACTACTTTTAAACAAGTAATATAAAAATAAAAAAAATTAAGTCAATTCCTACTCGGGTCTTCAAAGAAAATTTTTATTTTAGTTACTTTTTATTAAATAATAAAAATTTTTTTCTCCCATATAAAATTAAAATTAGTTAATTTTAATTAATTGAATTTAATGAAAGAATTAATATTTGAAAAAACTGTATTTACATCAAGTATCATCCACTACAAGTTTAAAAAATGTATTTGAACATGAGTGGATGAATAAAAAGTATTTTATTAACGATTGAAAATTTGAACAAGATATATAAATATATATAGGGAGAGCATGAACTAATAGTAGAAATTGGGGAAAAAAAGGCCCGTCGTCTCAGACTACTACAAAAGTACAAATTTTATGAAGTGGACCACACATGATACCACGCAATGTTCTTTATTGAATTTATCTGACACAGCGAATATAAAATGATTAAATATTTAAATGTGTGCAATAAAGTATTTTTTTTGTTCAAACAGAGCTATAAGTTAGAAATTATCACTGATGTTGTCTTTAAAATATGTGAAAAACTGAATCGTTTATAGCAAAATTTAAAACAATGACTATCGCTTAACCAATCAGAAAATTCCATTTCATCTTTCGCTCAGCCCTATTTAATTAATGAATTAATATTTGAAAAAGCTGTATTAACATCAAGTGTCACATGCTTAAAAAATGTATTTGAGCTTGAGTGAATGAATAAAAATTATTTTATTAACGATTGAAAATTTGAACAAGATGTGAGGAGTGTGTGAACTAATAGTAGGAAATGAAAAAGAAAGCAACAAATTTCAAAAAAGCATAATTAGCTTACTTACTATTAGAACTATTTTAACTACTTAATTATCTACTTAATTATATAATATTAGCTACTAATTAGCTACTTAAGAGTAATAAAAGCAAATTTAACCACAAAATAATAATAAAATATACTATTTTTCATTTCAGAAATATTTTGTTTCGAACAGAAAGTTTTAACAGTTTCCAGTATAATTTTATTTAATGCTGAATAACTCCTAATAGATTCAAATCAATGCATGAATAATTTTTAAAGTACTGTTTTATTAAAAAAAAAGAGAGAGAGAGAGAATCAGTATCCATGAGATAATATTCTCTCATATCAATATGAAATTAAAATTTGTAACTAAGTTCAAGAGTCACTTAATTTTAAAATAGGGTTTCAATAAACTTGAAATAAAAACACGGTGAATATGAATATGCCATTTAACATTCTTGTACAACAGTAATTTTAATGGATGATCCTCCAGTCCCTCATTAAAAAATTTTGTGAACTCCTGATTGAAATCAATAATTCATAAAATCACTTGAAAGATCACTTGATTTTGAATCATTTAAATAATTGTATAACTACAAAAGCTTATCCTACAAGATTTGTTAGGGCATTGCATAATAAAAAACTCCCAAATTCATAAACATAAAAATTTGACAATATAAAATAAGTTTCGTTTTCATAGAATTGCAGAAAGGGTTTAAACAATGAATCATGCAAATATGGCAATAAACCTGCATGAATCTTACTAATTAACAGACAATTCCTTAATTGGAACTATCAAACTTTGTGATTTCTACTAGTATTGTTAACTAAAACAAAAAATGTTGGATCAAAAATCTAAATTTTTTGATTTTTCAATTTGATTTTTTAAATTTTTTTATTTGTACTCAGAAAATGGGACACACACTAAAATCAGGACAAAAAGTTAAAAATCAGGACAAAATATTTCTTACCAGGAAAATCAGGAATATCAAGAAAAGTATGAGCCCTTTATAAAGATACCACACATATGGAGCAATAATTTTGTTACATAAACAATCAGTAGTCAACAAGTGCCATCTTATTGATAACTAATAATAAAAAATAAAAAAATTGACATAAAAAGATTAAAACAACTTTCAAAAACAAAAATCTACCTCATCTTGTAAAGAAGCTACTTTCTCACTCAATTGAAGAACATATTGTTGATACTGGTCAGCCATTGAATCTCGCTCGTTCATAAGTTTATCAACAGATGCTTTTAACTAAAAAAAAAGAAAGTTTAAATGAAATAAGTAGATCAAAATATACGGTGGATTGGTAATGTTACTGGTTTTATTGGAGCTTTAATGCTTTCAGCATGCACAGAGCAGTGGTAACTGAAAAAGGGTACAAGTCATCTCCAGCCATTCAGAATTTAAAACATGCATTTTCGTAAAACTTGTTTTTGTCTTCCCAGCAAGCTGCCATGCTGCGAAAGATGAATTAACATCATATTTTGTGTGAAACTGAGCAGTGTCACAGTGGAAAAAATTTTCCATCAAAAAGAAGGCTTTTGGTGGTGATTGTTTATCAGAATGCCAAGTCTACTGGTGACACAAAGATCATGCAGGAACAAAGCTCATACTTGATTGCCATCAATAACAACCACCATCAAAGATTTAACACAAGTAATTAAATTTTTCAAATCAGACTGTAGTTTTAACGTTTGTTTGATGGCATGAATAAATATTTCAAATTGTCCAAACTGTACATTGATGTTGTTTGTAAACTTCGTCAATGACAAAGGGCCTAGCCATGCTGTCCTTTTTTAGACCATTTATCTGATAGATTCAAAGATACCAAAGGTTCTCCAGCTGTTCTCAAGTTATGAAATGACTTTTCTAGACTTCTTGTTTCGGCACTTAATAACTACCATGAAAGAACATTTTTAGGACAACTGACAAAGTCAAACTTACATTTTATACAATGGACAGTTGTACATATTTCCTTTTATACAATGAGGAACGTATCTCAGTATTTAATTTTCATCAATGCCTATCGAACAAATTTTCTTAGTCATGTTAGTACTAAGGAACCAGAAAAGATACATTAAGACAGCTTCAATATCTCATTAGAAGCGATTTATAGATGAAGGAGGAAACTATTTTAATGTGCTGTAACAATCACATCAATACATGTTTTATAAATCAACACAGTGACATTACTTTTAAGACAAACTTTGTAGTGGAAAACCAATTTTCAACATGTAATTAATAATTTTGAAAAAGTTTAACTATTTAACAATGAATAAAAAACGATAAAAGATACTTACTAAGGAAACTTTCTTTTCAAGATTTATTTTTTCTTGAAAGAGTTCTTCCAACTGATTTCGATTTTCAGGAGTGTTACTGTCAGGAAGTTGCTGTGAATGAGATTCTGCTGCTGACAATTTGCTTCGACAACCCGTAAGCTCTTTTTCTAAGCTTTGAAGATCTTGAATCTATTTTTTTTGGAATAAAATTATTTCATTTTCAAATATACAAAGTCAAAATAAAATTGTATTTTTTGTTGTTGCATAAGTAAGTTATTAATATCAAGTCTTAAAAACATGTAAACTAAACTCAGTGGAGCGACAGCCCATAGAGGGCCAAGGCCTACTGTGCCCATCTCAGTTTTCTTGACCTTGGGCTCTGGGGTGCATGAGCAGATGTCCATAAAGAATCATAACCATAATCATTGTCTATAAAGAATGGTGACTAAAAAGGTTGGTATCATCTTTCTTATCACTTTCCAAAACAGAGTGCAATACTGTTGTTGTTGTCGGTCATTAAGGCAAAAGGCGCCTGATAGTTCTTGTTTTTAGTGGCGCCATCTGTGGCCAAGAATTCAACTTCTGCCACACCCACTCATTTATTCACAGATCGTAATTTTGACCTGAACCAAGGATCGATCAATATCCAATTCAGTACCCCCAGAGGTTTCATTTGTTATGGGAACATGGAGGATGTTGTGACCTGACAGATTTCACGTGCACTAGTCACCATTTACAACACAGGGAGTCTTCGGCTGGTTGAATTCGAACTCTTATTCTGCAAAACGTGAGTCCAGCGACCTGCCTACCAGGCTATTCCGGTTGAGTGCAATGCTGAATCGGTTAAATGAAATTTCAGCAAGATGTTCATGCCATCGTTTTACAGTTTTTAAAAAATTTATTTATTCATTGAACTACAGGACTTTTTTTTATAAGTAAAGCCTAGTTTTCAAAGGTAATTATAACTTGAGTAATCTAAAATGCTATTATTAATAATTAAATTCTTTTTTATTATTATATAAACTGATTGGACTAAATACAGAAATAACTAGCAAAAAAGTTAAGAGCATTTATACAGTTGGGATTATATCCACTATGCTTGTTATCCCGAGTATGCAACATCATTTAAGCAGTAAAACAATATTTATATAAAAAAATAGCATAAGATATTGTTTGATCAAAAAATTATATTTTGTACCCAAGATAACAAATTCCTGTATAAACCAAATATGGTGTAAGTACAAAAAAGAAAAAAAAAATATTTCTAAGTCATTTAGTTACAGTGAACCTGTATTTACATTAAGAAGATAAATTCTTTAAAAACAATATAAAGACTGGAAGAGATTTAAAGGGAACTTTTCAAATTCACCAGAATTAGTGGTAAATAAAAACTAAATATTAATTAAATATAAATATTAATAAAAATTTCTATCTTTAATAAAAAAACTAATATCTTTAATTATACAAACAACAAGTTTCCCATAGCCATAAAACATTTTAAAAATTGAATTTAATAGCTGTCAGACATAATAAATGAACCATAATTGAAATGAAATTACAAACCAAAAATAATTTATAAGTCATACTTTTTTATTCAACTTTTCTTTTAATTCTGAATTGGCTGAACTTAAATCTTCATTCGACCTACTGAAATAGCAAAAAAAAATTTTTCATTATGCATTCTTATTAGAAAATATAAGAATATATTTTTTTTGATTCAGCATGGAAAAAATTATCTAATTTTCTTACCTATATTTATAAATTTCAGACTTTAATCGGTCCACTTCCTTGGAAGATTCTTTGTTAATCTGGAAAATAAAAATCATGTAGCAAAATAAAAACAAAGAATTAAGAGATATTAAGAATCAATCAAAATTTTGGAAAAGTTAAAGAACAGTCAATAGTAAAATTTTAATAAATATCTCAATATTTTTTTCACAAACTCAGTCTCAAGACTTTGTGTCTTAAATTCTTAATGCAGAACAAAAACATATTTCATTATTTATTTCAATAAAAAATATGCTCATTTAAAGATGAATTTCCTTACGCAATACAATACAACATATGCAATTTATTTGAACATATTTTATTTTCAGCAAATACAATTTTAACTATTTTTACAGAATCATTAAATATTTTTAAGAGCATTCATTTATTCAAGATTTTTATGAGCATTCAATTTATTTATTTTCAAGAGCAACATATTTCTAGGATCATAATAAACTAACAAAATATATAAGAAATTATTTTTCTTTAGATCTAAGAAATTTAAATTTATTTGTGTTATTAATTATTTAAGTTACACAATAAAATAAACATTTATTTAACTCATTAGACTAAGTGTTTAGAAAAGTTTTTCAATTTTATTCCCTGCATAACTAAGACTAATAAAAATATTAATTTAAAACTTGCATTATTCACAAGAACCAAAAAATTAGTTTAAAAATGTACCTTATCTAATTGTTGGTATGAACTATTTACAGCTGCCAATTCTCTTTCAAGATCTGATGCTCTTTGCCTAGAAGCTCTTAATCTACCGAATAGCTCTTCTACTTCTCCTAAAATGAAACAAATTTGTTTACAGCTTTAAAGATACATATAGCAATATAAGTAATTACTTAAAAAGCTACATCCCTGAATTGAGAAAACTGACTAACTGCAATCGCATTTTTAATTACTGAGCTGAGTAATTCAAGCATTTAATATTACTAAAAAAAATATAATTTTAAAACATGTCATTTCAAATTTTTTTAGTTGACACTCAACTTAATAAACTAAGACAGGATTGGGAAAAAGACTTCTTAAGCAAAAACTTCAGGATTTTTATTTATTTATAACAAAGTTTATTTATAATCAAAGTCAAAGAGAAAATAATTTATGTCCAAAGTAAAAAATTATTAAACCAATAAAAAGCTTTTCAGAAAAACATTTTGACTATTATTATTTTCTATAAACAAATAAAAAATATCTACTTTCATTTGAATAGCATGCTTAAATATTGCTTTACAACAATATTTAATAAGCAAATAAAATTTTTATATAATGTACATCTACCCTAACAAAGTAACTGCCTATTAGAGAAAAGAATTAAAATATGAATGAATTTAAAATAGTAGATGATGCAGCAATAATAACTGTTCCAATTTGTAAAAGTAGCACTGCACAAGGAGGAAATTTTTTAGCAATAAAAAGTATAAAAAGTTTAAGCCTTTCCCTTTAAGATTATTAAGAAAAAAAAACTAATAAATGTACTTTATCAATCTGGCGCTGATAATATAAATATAGTTATTACAAGATCTGAATCGTTTTCAGGTTATGTAATTAGGAATAAAAACTCACAAGCAATAATTAAAATTGCATTTACACTTAACACAGAAAAGTTTCACAGGGCTATACATGGCATACATGGGCTATAACCCTTTACTATTACAGTCCTTTAACAATTTCTATGCAATATTATAAATTTGGAGAAAAATTTAAAGACTAAGGAATTTTATTATTAAAAATTAGACATACCTGCTTTTTGTTTTGATGTTTGTTGGTTTAAAGAAAGAGTGGACTGAAGTTCAGTTTTTTCAGCCACAAGAATACCTATGGTTTGAATATGGACATTAAGTTGATCTTTTAAGCTAACTTGCTCTTTATGAGCTTTCTCCAAAACTTCTTGCTTTTCTTGCTCAAAAGATTGGGTAAGGCGCTTGTTTTTTACTTTCTGTATAGTGGAGAGAAAAACAATATATCTTAAGCAGTACCATAAGTACAAAAATTTAGAATTGAAAAATAGCTCATAAAACATAAATTAGTAGTTGACTAAAGACACCCAAGAAATTAAAATACTAATTTTTTGAAAGAATGATTTATAATTTGAAATAGAAAAATAGTTTTATTATTCATATAGAAACAACATGTTAGCTTAAACTTAGATATATAACTGCTATAAAAATTTTTTTTTAGATAAATTAAAAAAGTTTTAAATAGTTGGACAAATAAGATAATAATGTAAACAAAATACATTAATAAGATTCTATTAAAAACAAAATCTTTAAAATCTTGAAATATTAAAATCCTTTAAGCATAAAAGTTGTAACTGATTTCAAAGGCTTATCTTCACTAGCATTCATACATTGTAAGAGGTTCCCAAAAGGTATTCTGTGTACTTTTTTTTAAAAATGACTTATGAAACCTGAAATTATATTTAATCAATAATCTATTTATTATTTATTTAATAAAATAAATAGAAAAATGCCAGTGGGAAAATATTGCAATTATATATTTTTATTCAAATAACGATACATATTGAATCAATTATATAAAAAACACGCATTTATATAATAAGTTGCACTAGTATTTCTCATTCAACTTTCCAATTCCAAAATTACAAAACTAAAATCAACAATAAAGAAATGTGTTTTCCTGATATCCTTTCCCAACGTTTTAACAGTTTTTTGTTTTCATTTTAATGAAAACTGTAATGCTGCAAGTTCTGTTCATTTTCAGTTTATGTGTTTACTAAAAACTAATTTAGAACTAGATCAGATGCCCTGCGAGTTCAATTATCTGACGAAAAATCTAATTTTAATACTGCTTCTAATTAAACAATGAAAAAAGAATCATTTTTACAGATTAACTCTTTTCAAAATAATTAGTAGTTCAACTAAAATAGTTGCAAGTTTGGTTATTACGTTAACAAATATTAAAGATCTTTATTTTATGATTTGGGGTTCCGTTAAAAGTAGGGTGATCATTTAGGGTTTCATTATTTCCAATTATGTAGCTAAAAAAGACTGTAAATCATTGTACTTTAATTTTTGTTTTTAAACCTAAAAAGTCAATAAGTAATATCTTGATATAATAATTATGAATAAAACTTTTATAGAGAAATTATGTCATAGTATAAAGGCTAAATAACATGAGCCATTAAAATACATATATTTCAAATAAACCCAATACAAGTTTATACTTACAAATTCCTGTAACTGAAATTGCAGTTGATCATTAGATTGCCGCAAATTATTGACCAATAAAGCTAACTCTTGATTCCTTTTTTCTAAAGACTGGCTTTCTATATTTGGGGATTCTTCTCTACTAATATCACCATTAACAAAAGCATCTGTTTCAGACATAAGTCCATTAACTTGTAAAGAAATCTGACGAAGACTCTCAGTTGAGGACAGCTCTCTAAATAACAAGGAAATTATTAGAAATAGTAAAATAAATTTAAAAGACTCACTGAAATTTTTTTAAAAAATAAATCAAAGTATCTTTGATCTAAGACACAAGGTGCAACATAAAAGGTGTTTAGTAAATAGCTGGAAGAAAAGTCTTTCCCTTTAGAATAAAAAAGTTTTTCTAAGATTCCATAAAAATGCATTTATCAAAAATAAAAAAATATCAGCAGATGCTTAGACAATATTTAGCTTATTAAAAAATTTTAAAAACTGAGAAATTTTTTTTTTAAATTAAAAAACAAACCATTTTAATTTCCCCTATATCAAAATTATGAGTAACAATGTATTAAATATTTAAAGAAATATCTAGATAGTTCATGTAATACAAATACAAAAATTTTGAAATAAAAATTTTATCCTTTAGAGATAAGATAAACAAAAGTGCAAAATATTCATTCAAATAATAAATGACAAACGTACTTTAAATTGTTTAGCTGTTGTTCTGACTTAGACTTTTGACTAAGGTTTTCACTCTGAACTGATTTATTAATATCTTGGACAGAAACACTTTCATTGAGAACTGAAATACTTGAACTTCTGCAATTTTTATTCAAAATTTCAATAAAAATTAAAACATTTCACAGATCAAAAATATATAATCATACAGAAATAAGACAAAAAGTAAGCAGAATCAGTATTGTGTAACCTACTATCTGATTTTAACCTCCGGCAAATTTTATGCATAATTTTTAAAAAAGAAGATGTGGTATCAAACTCGCAATTTGGATATAACAAGTCACAGTTTAGAAAATTTACTAGATCTTTACTTGGGATATTTAAAAGGTAAGTGGCAATGCAGAGGGGAAAGTTTCACAGTTTTTAAAGAGAAACCTCTGAGTTTTTTGAGAAAATTCAATTATTATGCTGCGCTATGTCAGAAAAAGCTGCTAGCATCTTCAATTACAAGCATTTAGCAATACTTATTTATAGTTGAATTTGATTGATTAAATTAAATATAAAATTTTAATAACACAAGATGTAGATGCCTGATAATATTTTTAAACTGATCGCAATAAATTGATAATTATAATCAGTAAAATTTTTTTTTTAATTATAGGTATAAAAGTCAAAAATAACTTCTTTGCTCAAAACACTGTCATTTTCTCTAAAATCAATTAGTTGCAAGGTAGATAAATGATTTAGATTTGATAAAAACTTACTTTATCTTTAAAGAGAATCATTTTTGATAACAGCTTAATATTTTAAATATAAGAAAAGTAAATATTTCAGCAATGAATTTGTTTGCATGAATAATTTTGTGTAACTGCATAGATTTTGTTCAGTAACTATTTGTTTTTAAAAAATATTTAATATTCCACCAAGTTTGTTGAATTTAACTCGACTTAAATTTATTATTTTCAAAGACAGAACACAATTTCAGAAAGATGGATGAATTTAAAAATAGGCATCAATTTATTCATTTCAAGTAATAACTTTATGAATTAACAAAGTTTATATAAATATAAACATATAGGAGAATTCTAAATTGAATATCTCATTCAATTGCATACACCATATGCACTGTTTTTTAATTAATTTCTGAAAAGTTACTAAGGTCCATAAATGTCTGAAACCAGGTCAGTATATCATAAAAAGTTTTTTTAGAAAACTAAATGAATAAAACTTATAAATCATATCCTTAAATGCAAAACGTTTTGCATCATAAATATCTATATTCTAAAATGAAAGCTTCATAAAAGTAAATGACTGAAATAAGCATTTTTGATTACTGAATTTTTCAAACATTTACCAAATCATATTCGGTTTAAAGATAAATTTTTTCCATAAATGAATAATAGCAATTAAATTTCAGGGGGATTACATCCAAAGTCAAATTATAAAAAATTAGACAATTTTTATAGACTGTAAAAAACAGTTTTTAGTAAAAATAAATAATCTCTTTTATCAATATTTTTTATATACCTAATAACCTGGTATTTGTTATACATATTAATATAATCTATAAATTTTACAAACAGCAAAAGTAAATAAAATATGAAAATAAAAATTTGAAGGATAATGATAAATATTATCATTTCAATATTTAATGAATATAAGTACATATATTTTTATAGGAGAAACTGAAAGCGAAACACTTACTTATTTTTTGTTTGCTCAAAATCTGTGCTAGTGGTTTTACATAAAGGCACCTGGAAAATATTTTTATAACTTCGTAAGAAAAAAGTTATTATCTATCATAAATAAAATCAGTGTAAGTTATTAGTAAGAAATTTATTTGTAAACATAAACAACAACAATCCAAAACATATTCAATCCATTGTAAATTTTATGTGATACTAAAAAATTTTAATTGTTAAAAATGGTGGGAGGTCATATCAGAATTCATTCTTTTTTGTATTTATGGATTTTTTTTAAAATTATTAATATATAATTTCAAGTGCTCTTCAGGGCATCAAAAAATAAAAAGAAAAAAAAGAAAAGAAAAAAGAAGAAAATATTTAACATTAATAATATTTTTTCAATAGCCCCTCAAATTAAACGAATGATTCTGTCCTTAGGGATAATTCAAAGGCAAATCCAATGTTTCCCTGATGATTTGCAACGTAATGCTTATAATTTGGAGCAGATTTAAATTTTCAAAAATATCCTTTCAAAATATTTCATTTGTCTGTGAGTTTAAATTTAGAAAAAAAATAACAGTCAAGCTAAGTTTTTAATTTTCATGGCTATCAAAGTTAGGTTTCACATCGAATGGAGTATATTTTGCTGAACTTTACAAAATTTCATCAAAAAGAATGAAAATTGTAACAGTTTCTGGTTTATTTAAAAAATAAATATGAGTTTAGAAATAAATATCTATAATGGAAATTTAACAGGGTGCGTAGCCAAATCTTTGAATCAAAAATAAGCACTTTTTAAAAACTTTTCAAGCACTTTACAAAAATTTTCAAGCACTCAAAAAATTCATATTCAATCAATGATATTATTGAAAAAAAAAACTTTTTATAAACAGTTTTAGCGTTAAAAAAAACCCAAAAAGAAACGGGCGTAAATCGAAACAATCAGTACTTTCCCACATCACCGAGTGAATTCAGCTTGAGCCTGAACTCAGAACAAAAGTACCCTTACCCCTATGTCAAAAAAAGTGTTAGTAAAATAAAATAAACAAGAAAAAAATTAAACCAAATTAAAAAGAAAACCATTTCATAAGGATCTGATATTCTCTATCCGAATTGGAGCACTCGGGTTTTGGTTTCAAGTGTGCGCGCATGCTTAAGCCATAACGTGGGTACGACATGAAGTCCACGTGAATGATCACGTAGTAAACTCCCCATTTTTTGTGAAATGCATGGGATCCACCAGATATCACTGCAGGGGAAAAAAAATTATTCGAAAAAAAAAAGCACATTTTAAAAACACCAGCTGAAAAAAGCACCTTTAAAAGCTTTTAAAAACGAAATCCCCAAAAAAGCACCTTTAAGTACTTTTTACAAACGCTATGCACCCTGTTTAAAGTGTTTTTACTATTTATAGCTGACATGTATTTTTATTCAATTTAATTATTTTAAAGAAATTGTTTTGTTTGCCACAAAAAAAAAACTGCTATATAAATCAGTGAAAACTAATCTATATTTTTAAATATGCTCACTAAGTTGTATCACTATGATACTTTGGTAATTATTTTAATTGTATATGTCTGTTATATTGTTATTTTCCCCTCTATCATTCTTCTCTTTAAAAAAAATTCGAAGAAATTCCTTCAATCTGATGGAAGGAGTATACTTTCATATCTGCACCTGTTAACACCATTTGAAATCAGCAAGACTTCAAATATAATTACCTAATTGATGTACTTAGAATCAATTTTATAAGAAAATATAAATGGCTTGCTCAGGAGTGGTCATGAGTTTTACCTTTTGAGATTCTGTGTTTCTTTTTTTATTGTGGTCCATGTGCAATTGCCTGATTGTTACCAAAGTTAAGGAATTACTTTGGCAGAGGTGTCAAAAATGAAAACTTCTCATGAACATTTAAGTTTACCTTTTCTATGGAACTATCAGCAGATAATTTTCTTGGCGTGCTTAGTGATGAATTTCCAGCTTCTGGGGAATCGTTTTGAAGAGGCGATTTCCTTCGTGCAGTTTTCGATTTAGAAGATCGTTGCTGCTGAAACTGTTTTAACTATAAAAAAGAAATTAAATAATTAGAAAACATTTTTTAAAATGCAACATGTTATTACGTTAAACTAATAACGAATAAAATCAGCGTCAAGTATCCAGAAATTAGCACAAGAAGGATAGTAAAAAATATATTATTTATTTGAGCAACATTGATTGATTTCATTAATAACACAATTAATATATAAAGGAAAATTTGTAAGCAAAAGAAATAATAATAAACCATAATATTAAATTGCACTCATCCTTATTCAGGATGACAATTTTAAGATTTGAACAAACTTAAAAGAAATATATCAAGACTTTAAAATTTACGAACTTAATTCCAAAAATTTAAGAGAAATTGAAATCTTCAAAATTTCCAACAGTCTTATAAAACATTTGAAACTACTTTTTAAATTTTCCCCAGTTATTACTACTTTTCCATTATTAGAATTAAAATTATTAGACTATTTTAAATTTAATAAAGGCACCTACTTTCATGGTTTGAAATAACACAACAATAACACAGAAAGGTTATTAGAAATGCACTTGATTATTTAGATTAAAAATAAGAAATGGTGGTACAAGTCTAAGAGGCTGTACAAATTATTAAAAATCATAAAATGACTTTTGCATCTATGAACCAATGCATTTTAACTCATTAGTTAGGTAATCTGTTAAACACAAACTAAAATATTTAATGTGAAGTATATTATTTGAAAAATATTTATACATTAATCAAAATTTTAAACATTATTCATGTAAACATTAAAAGTGTGATAAGTGAAATTTAAAGTGCAATAAAATATTTGACTAACTAAGCAATAATAAAAAACTGTCGATACAAGTTAAGGTGGAAAAAAAGGAATATTCTTATATATTTTAAACACTCACGCGCATTAGGCCAGGACATGAAATTTCAGATCTAAAGAAACTGGATTAAAGTTTTTGCTTGACCCCATTTCACATTTATTAAATGCATGAACAATTTTAAAATGTTTATTGACAAAAACCTACCATAAAAGAATGTGGAGACTTATAAAACAAAACATATTGATTGCAATAAGGCAATAATTAAAATAAGGTCATCCAAAGATTTAATTGTTTTCAGAAGCAAGGATTTTGTAGGTGAAAAATGAGTAAATAAGCAATTTTTTCTCTTTTGAATCTATTTATTTATTTATTTTTTCTTTTGTCACTTGATTTTCAAGGATCCTTTCACAGTGGTCACAAGGGTCTTTCAATTTAAGCGCACATAATTAAATTCAAAATTTTAAAAGCTGAAACATACAAGCTGGAAGAATTTGATTGTCAATGACAAGTAGAAATTCCATGACCAGTATAATGCAAGTAATGAGAAAGTATCACCATTTTGAAGAACTTACTTTATTAATAGCTCTAAACACATCCTGCTCTATTTCTTTTTAATGCGGTGCATAAAATTTAAATAAATAAAAAAAAAAAACAGAACACCCTGAATATATGAATACAGTTTATCTTAAGCTCTGCAATAATAATAATAATTCAAGAAACAGATCTTCCTAAATATGGGTGTCAGAGAGGTCCAATTTTGGAGGGGAATAAAATAAAATACTATCACAATAGTTTTCTAAATTTCACTAAAAAAAAATTCTTAGTTGCTAAATATTTCCAAAAAGATTTATTATATATTTACTACCTTTCTGTTTTTAACTTTGCTAAACTTAAATCAATGATAATTCATGAAAATAATAATTCATTCTTTAATTAAATGACATATTGAGGGGTACTTAATGAGATTTCTAATCTTTTAAGTGGACATATAAAAATAATCTCTCCACCCCAACGGCGTCCATGTTCCTGCGATTGCTAAATAATAGATTAATTAGCACAAACATTGTTTGAAGTTACAAAATCGGACACACAAATGTACTTTAAATTGCAAATTTCAGTCTTCACTATTTGCTTTTATTTCTATGACAACGAAAAATCAATCTTGCACTTATAAATTAAAAAACGTGGTAATATAAAAAGTCAATTTATCCAAGCAAAATTATTTTTTATCACTGAAAGGTGATAAGTAACATACCAATGATTAAAAATGTATCACCATACTATAGCAACTTTACTTATCGTTTCAAAATCTTTAATTAATAAGGTCAGCCCCGTAAACTAACAAAAAAATATGTTGTTTTGTTAAGAGTGCTAGATGATTTACTCAACACGTTAACTTTAGACATATAAACATATATCAATTAATACCTATTAACGTTACTTCCTTGTTTTTTATCGAGGGACATACATAGTACTTTTAAAATAAACACTTTTCAAAGAAACTTAGTAATTGAGAGAGTAATTAGAGTTCAAACAAATGGTATGATAAGCATGAAGTCAGAAATATTTGATTCTTGATAATTTAAAAATATGTCTAAGCGGTGTCTTATCATTTTGTTACACGTCAGGTTTTTGCGCATTTTCTACATCGTCAGGTGAAAAATTCATTTCAACCCATATGTTACATATTTTTCATATATTTGATAACAATTTTAAGCAAATAACATAATTCTATTTAAATAAATACCTTTTTTAAACCAGCAGCTAATTTTTCTTCCCTACTAATTTCATCTGCCATGTTGACAAACTCAAATTGCGCATATCCATTGAGCAGAAAAGGTAAACAGAAACTAGTTAACCCATATCTTTTAAATTAATTTTAATTGAGATTAACTGCCAAATTAAGTAATATTTTTAAAACAGTTTGAGGATTTCCATAAGTTAATACCTATTTTTAGTAACTGATGTGATTCAATTGAGTTCAAATCTTTCAAAAATAATACAATATGTTGGTTTGATTCTGCATTTGAGTCGCGCATTTTTTAATTTTTCATGTATATAAATTAGCAGCAAGACAAGAAATAGCTACCCAATTAAAATAGTGATCCATGAATTTAACTAATTGTTTCAGTCACACCTATTTATTCCAAGTGATTGGTTTGTTTCAAACAATCCAACCAAAAAATTCATTCGCAGTTTCAGAAGATTAATTAGATTCGTTAACTGTGATTGTCATTGTATCGACGTCCTCCCGGTGTAAACAAACTTGTCTGCTAATGCAGTTTATATTATGAAATTGGTTTTATTTAATTTCTTTTAAATAATTAAAAAATGGTGATCTTTTACTTTTGTCTAATAAATGTTGCTGTTTTTTATACTGAAGCTCTAGGTATTTTTGCTATTTAATACGATTGTTATTAATTTTATTTAATTACTATATTTTATTAATTTGATACTATATTTTATTGATTTTAAGGATATGTTTTATTAAATGGAATTTAAAAGCGATCTAAAATAATGATATTTAAAACTGCCCAAGAGCTGGTACTGTATTCTTGCTGGTACTATTTTAGGCTAATATTTCGTTGAATTAAAACCTGATAAATTAGTTATTGTAGGTAAGTTTAGATATTTACAGTTAAGGTTAAGATGTTTCTTAAAAAAATGAGATATTGTTAAGATGTTCCAGAAACAGTACCGCTATTCTATTATTGACTTTAATTGAGCATTTGTTTATAGTAAGTTGTTTATTATCTGATTTTCGCTAATATTTCTAAATGCTGGTACTATGCTGGCTGGTGCTGGCTGGCTTCTTCTATGCATTTTATATTATAGGAATTACATGTAAATAAATTATATTTATTTGATTATTATTATTTTTTATTAGCATACTTATTGCCTTAAATGTATGGCCTATTATTTGAAAAAAATTATTTTCATTCATATTTTTAATTTATTTGTTTTATTACAGGCTCTTTCAAATCTTCAGATAAAAGTAGTACTGCATCAAATACTATTAGGGATAGAAGCCATTTTGAGCATGCTTTTAATATCAAAAATATTCAAGATGTCTATGGTAATGATTTAACTAAGAACACTCTTGAGAAACTCATTGAAGTATACATGAATTCAATTAAGCCTCTAGAAGTAGCCTATAATTTCAATGATTTAAAGCATCATGTGATGAATGGTAAGTAATTTTCAAGTAATAATCCACTCTTCTCAAAGAAATACCATTGATTCCATCAAACCTCAATCCAATAAAAGTTTTATTATAGTGTATTATAGCACATTCAGCAAATCTGAATATAATACTTTTGCAAATTTTCAATTGAAATGGTATATATTGTACGATTTTCAAAAATAATAAATTTGGCTAGACTTGTGCATTCTATTTTAATAATAAATTAGTAATTATAACTATTAGTGCCACATTATTAAATACATCGGTATTCATATTTGAAATAAGTCAGAAAGTATACATGCAAGTTTTTAATTTATTTCTTTAAGATATTAGGGATTGTTTTGACCCACATTTGATTGAATATATCCCTTCTTTTTATTTAGATATACTGTATGCAAGACAATAAAGAATTCTTGTTTGTGCATAAAGTTTTAGAAACTCTAGTAATCTGTCTATAAATTATACCCTTCAAATTTTCAAATTATACCTTTATTTATATACAGTCGGACTTCTATTTACCGAACTTCCTTTTTACGAATTTTTCTATTACGAATTTTTTCGAGGAACCGAGAACATTTGTGAAATTTCTTCGTAAAATAACTTCCAAATGGCAAAGTGAATTTTCTATGTAACAAACTGTTCATTGAAATCCACTTTCCCTATTTTCCAAAATATTTCGTAGCATTTCAAACTTGTTAACGCATTTTACGGGGGAAATGACCTTGAATTAATTTTCGAAGCCACTGTTTATGAAATGTATTACTCTTTTCTCTAAAAATTATCTTAGAGAAAGCAGTAAATTCCCTTTCCCTCTTTGTTTGCATTTCAAACGAAAAACTCAGTTCAAATTAACAGATTTTATCCATAGCAATTAAACTTAAGAACGCATGTGGTAATGTATGTTTAAAATTAATTTTATAATAAATGCAGCTATGATTTTATACATATATTTAGCCTTTTTTTAGTTGAAAATGTATATAGCATGATAGTTTAACACTGGATAATGTTTTGCTCTATTCTTGCTCTCCATGCAGATTTCTTTTATGGTTAATATTTATAAAATAAAGAGTAGATGCTAGTTTACAGGAAAAAAGTGCATCAATTGCTATTTTAATTATGTCTAGTGTTTATGAACTTAAGACGTGTTTTGTGTTGTTCAAGTATTTTAAAAGGTGATTTTCTATTTAACGAATTTACCAGATAACGAACTAATTATCGGGATTTAGTGACTTCGTTAAATAAAGGTCCGACTGTATTTATTTTTTCACTAAAAGAGTACACTAAAGTGCCAGAATTTTCCTTCTGTATTACACGTGAACAAGAGTTTTACTATTTCTTCCGGATAGTAAAAATTAAGATTCTTAACCATCGACCATCTTTTATGTCTATTAACGGCACTGATGATTGTATAAAGAGAAGGAAATATTCTTAAAAAGTTGATTATATTAGGTTGTAGAAAGTAAGTTTTTTTTTAATAAAATAAAATGATTTGTTTTATTATTTTACAATAACTTTTATTATGTTAATCATTGAAATCTATCATACATTTGTATTGATCCCCGACAAGTTCAATATAATTAAGGGCTATTGCATTTATTAAAAATATCTTACATAATTAAAGCTTTTTTTTGTTGCTATTTTTCAGAAGGTGAAATATTTTCTTTACCTATGATTTTACTTCTTGGACCTTGGAGTACTGGAAAATCTACTCTGATTAATTACATTTTGGGAATTGAGAATTCTTCATTTTCATTAGATGCTGGTAAAATTTCTCTCTATTTATTATGCTTTTTGTAAATTTTAATAATTTTAGGAAGTTAATAGTGAATAAATAGTTGATCATGAATATGTAAAAGTAACAGAGATCTCCTTAAAAATAAAAAAGGGCAGGGGACTTTTTCAAAAAAAAAGAGCACCTTCAATTTTGAATCTTACTAAGTATATTAAGTATATCTAGCTAGATTAATGCCCTTCAAAATAGAAATAAAAATATTCAAATAAATATGAGAAATAATAGTATTTAATATTGACTTAGCCTAAAGATAATTTCTATTAGTTATGGTAATCTGAAGTTCCAGGTTTCTGTTACTGCTGCCTCTTTTCTTAGAATAAAAAGAGTTTTTTTTTTCTAATTAAAAAGAAAGGCAGCATTTTCGAAAAAAGGGCAAGGAGGGTACATTTACTTCTGTGAAAGAGCAGGCAGGGTGGGCCCCCCTTCTAAAAATGTTTTGGAGAACATTAAAAGTAATTCATTCATTATTTTTTTACTATGTTATATATTTATTTTTAATTTATTTAAAAATTTTCTTTTATTTTTAATTATTTATATTTTAATATCTGTTTTGGGTAAAAACTTTTTAGTATAGGTGTAACCTTTGGCAACTATAATGTTCCCACAATACCCTCTAGTAGCTTTGTCAAAGGATCGCAGAATCTTGAAAATTATTTAGTAAGTAAGGATTTATACATACTTTTTTTAGGAAAGTTCCTTGGAGCTTAGTCCCAGTATTTATCATTTAAAAATTTTTTTCATCATACTTATTTTGTATGTTGAATACATTTTAAAATAAAAATTTTGATATAAAAATTTTAATTTCATATAAAATTTTGCAATGAAAATTTAAAATAAAAATAAAATAACATTTGAAAGCAAAATCTATATGATTATGCAGCGTCATGGGAAGTTTAATGCTTTATCCTAATGGCTTTATCCCTTGAACAAGGACATAATTTCTTTTTAATCTTAAACTCTACATTTTTTTTAACTCTATACTCTGATCTGGATTGTATATATTACTTTTATAATGTGCAACAAGTAAATAGGAATGTCTGGTACTAGTATTTTTATAAGATCAAATTTATCATGACATTTTGAATTACTTTTCTTTGATAATGGCACAAGTTAAATTGATTGATCAGTTAAATGTAAGAAACTTTTAAAAGGATCAAAGTAAAATAGAATATAATTTTTGTTTGTGCATTCTTGTTTTAAAAAATAAGAAGAAAGTAATTATCTATGCAATTTTGTTATTTGCAATAGAAAGTTTTATTTGGCACAATTTTTTGAAAACACTAGTTTGAAATTTTTATTTATGTAAATAATATTAATTATACCCTTCATGGAAAAAATTGTTTTTAAATAATTCATTATTTTTGAAGGAGTACCTAAATTATTTTTGCTCAAAACACTTCTGAGACGTGACCCTCATTAGAACTGTGTAGCTGTACCATTTTAATTTTATGTTTCTTTTTTTGCAAGATAGTGAACTCAAACAAGTTTTCTTAAGTTGTTATTATTAAAAATTATATTCAAAACTTAAGTGCCAATACTAGCAATATAATTTTTTCTTTCACGTTTTATAGCTTTATGTATTTTAATTAATAATTTTGTTGGCAATATGTTTCTGTAATATCAACATATTAAATTTGTAATATATTGCATTTTTAGGGGCTCAGCCAACTACTTCTGATTTTATTATGTTGAATTATAGTGAAGAACCAAAAACTGTTGATGGAAAAATTTTGGTTATGGAGAAAAGTTTTTCATCTTTAGAAAAATACGGCCAACCTCTTCTTGAAAGATTAAAAAGTTTGCAAATCCCAAATCAAATTTTAAAATTGGCAAGTGTTATTAAATTTTATTTCAACTAATATTTTTTAGACTTTGGTAAACAAATGCTTATTTTTCTCATAAAATGGTAATATATATTTAATAATAGATTAAAATATATTCATGAAATAATTATTCTAAAAGTTATTCAAAAATAATTTTTAATTGGAAAAAATACAGAAAATGTAATGTTCTTTTATTTAGCCCCTGAAACAATTAAAAGAAGTCATTCCACAAACTATAGTATGTTACATACTTAGTGATATAATGAAAAAATAAAATTTGTTAGCTTATTATCTATATATATATTTCTTTTATGTGGTAGCATTAACTCATGTCTATCTATTGTTATTATTGTCTATCTGTAATTATTAATAATTTTTTCTATTGTCTCAACTATCTCTGTCTAACAGTCATTAAATCACACAAACTACAGAAGTATGTTTTTAAGTAGTGTTAAAAAATTACTTAAACCTTTATTTGTTTCGATTCATTCTGTTAGGTTGTCTTAAGTAACAATTTAAATATGATGAATAATTATTTATGCATTAAGTATTTATTTAGAATTACTTTGTATTCTTATAGAAATAAAAACTTAGATAAAAAGTAATTATTTAGACTTATTTTTGATCCTTTCTGAAATAGCTGTAGAAATTTTAAATATAAACAGTACCGCATATTGTCATACCAATCATTGTTGATGGAGCTTGCTATTTTTGAGCAATAGCATATGTATGTTATGCAATACTTAAGTAATGTCTCAAAAGATGCACTCCTTAATAGAACACTTGAGATAAGTTTTCTATCTTATCTCACAACAGAGATGAAAATTGTTTTCTTAGTTCTGCTGCCTACTATGCTGAAATGTCATGGACTCATACTTACAGTGATTTGTGTGATTTATGACTGCCAGACAAAATTTAAATTTTTATAAAAATTCAATACACAAAGATATGGCAATATCATAAAATAATAATGACATAAGGCAATATCAATAAAATAATTCAATAAAATCGAAAAATAGTTAAAATTTAATCAAAGTACTTCCATGAGAGCAACAGATAGGCAGTTAAAAAATTTGATTGATATATTATTTAAAACTTATTATGATGTTAAGATTGGAGGAGGGGTTGAAGAATTAGAATATTTAAATACAGTTGTGCTGTGAATTCGGCTTGGTTATCATTAAAGTTTATGTGTTGTACAAGATAATTTTAAAAGGTAACCAAGCTGGTCGTCAAAAGCAGCTAGTTTTTATATAAATTTCATCGATTTTTATGGGAAAAAATTTACTCTCTATACTATTGTAGGCTCTCTTCTGAGTTGCAGTTCTCAATTGTCAATTATTTATATGTATTATTATAAGGCACTTTTAGATTCATGTATTTATATTGTATGTCCAAAAGAGTTTTTTTCTCATACCAATTGTATTCTGAGAAATGTTTTATCTATAGGTGAATTTTATTGATACACCAGGTGTTATTGAAAACAAAAAGCAACAAGAAAGAGGTTATCCATTTATTGAGATTTGTCGATGGTTTATTGATAGGTCAGATCTAATTTTCCTTGTGTTTGATCCTTTCAAAATGGATATTGGAGCTGAATTAGAAGAAATATTCCTGCAATTGAAAGGCTATGAAGCAAAGGTATAATAAATTAATGTTATTTTTTTTAAACTTCATCATTTTTTAAAGATCAGTAGAATTAATTAAATTCAATCCAGAATAAAATAAAAACTCTGCTACTTTATATCTTCCTTTTTAATGCAAATTGATTAAAGTCCTCCAATTGTTTTAAATCTTCTCAGGATTCAAGGTTGAAAATAATTCCTATCATGTGTTCAGAGTTAAATTAAAAAACTAAATGAACTCATTGGTTAAAGTTAAATGAAAATACAATCAAACTTAATTAAAATATTTTTATAAATTATAATTTCTTTTACATTATAAACTTAAAACATTTTCTTAATATTGTAATTTACATTTTCTTAATATTGTAATTTATAATTTTAAGAAGAGTAATTAGGTTATTGAGTTTGAATTCAAATAGAATAAGATAATCTCATCATTTTTATAGTTATTTAAAAAGATCAGAATAAATTAATCCTTTTAAATTTATTGTAAAACTAGCTGAACAATATTTTTCTTAATTTCTTGCTGCAGAAATATATACATAACAATAAAGATGATTTAAGGCTTACAGACTGCTCAAAATTATTCCAAGTGCATCTATTTTTTAGCATTTACTATATTTAGAAGTAGATATATGCAGGGATAGAAAAATTCTGTTGTTAATTCATTTTCATAACTAATAAAAAATTAGTTTTAGTTTATTACAAAATGTTATCATAACTATAATTTTTTTTAATAATAGGTAATAAAAAAATTAAAAACTTCATTTAAAAAATATATAAATTTTACTTTGGGATAACTTTGGGACAAGTGTCTGAAAAATTTAAAGTAAATAATCTATAATACTATCTGTGTCTTTCTGAAGCTGAAAATTTAACTGTGCTAATAAAACAGTATACTGAAAATATAATTTTTTTCCCAATGAGCTGCACAGTCGGTCTTGCCGATGAGCAGACCTAGTGCGTTCTCTAGAGGTGGTATCCACTCTTTCAGGACCACCACAATGGGTGAGATACCATTGGTTGGTCATGTTAATTTGGACAACTAGTTTCTGCCACACTAGATGGCAGCACCGAGCACTAGATGGCAGCACCGAGACTCTATTTGGATGCTAAAGTGCTCTAGGAATTTAAATTTGCCGGAAATGCCAAGAACCAATAAGGCACTCCAGGGATCTTTTACATGCCGCATAATCATATGTCATGGCCACTGAGGATTTTCTGCATCCCGAGAATCCGGTGTCTGGGGCCGGGGCTCGAACCCCCAGACTTGGGCTCAGAAGGCCGACGACAAACCAACTGCGCCACCCAGCCACTTACTGAAAATATAAGAGTGCTAAAAGTCTGTGTTTTTCAAAGTGCTTTTTTTTCAGAATATCCTTATGAAAGTTTTTTCTTTCTTTAAAAATGTAGAATATGCGTACAAAAAAGAAAATAAAAAGTTGATCAAAGTATAACCATTAGACATGATTCAACTATGTTTTCTTGAGAAAAAAAATGGGTAGTATACCAAATACAAGTTAGTTTTTAGAGGTTATGTAAAGCATAAATATTTAAAAAATCCTGTAGTATATTATTTAAAAAACATTTTTATATTTATTTCAGTTAATAAATAGTTGAATTGAGTAGCATTTTGTTATTGTACACTTTGGAGCATTAAATGTAGAAACATTACAATCATCGAATCACTAAGAACAATTTATGATAAACTGAGATTTCATGATGATCATAATTAACATGTTTTTTTTTGTTGTTGTTTTGTTTTGAGAGCAAAACCAAGTCAAACATTTTGAAACTAACATAACGAATGAAAATTTTTGTATTCCATTCTGAAATAAGATAAACATTTAAAAGTTAAAACAAACTTGACTTTTTCTTCTTCTTTATCTAATCAAATCTTAAACTAGTTTTCCAAAATTTATTTAGAATTGTTAATTATATCAATATTTAAAATTCATTTTGGCAAAACTTTTCGGGTTTCTCTTATATCTCAGCTTTATTGTTATGATTTAAGTAAATTCTATGTTTATTTTCTCATTCATTAAAGATTTGTTTAAGCATGTTTTAGCAGCTTTAAAAATACATATTTATGATTTCATTTAGGTTAGAATAGTTTTAAATAAAGCAGACACCATTAACTCTCAAGAACTGCTCCGTGTTTATGGAAGTCTATTTTGGAATCTTTCACCATTGATCAATATCACTGAGCCACCAAAAGTATACGTTAGCTCATTTTGGTCCAAACCATTTCAGAGCATGTCAAAAGAATACCAAGACATGTTTGTTCTTGATGAAGAATCTTTGCTTAGGGATATTAATGAAGTAATGGCCAACAGACTGCAGAACAAAATTGCGTTTCTCCGAAGGCATGCAATATTGGTAAGAAACCACGCTCTTATGATAGATAAGTATGTGGCAACTCTCTCTCAACATAGATCATTTTTTCAAAGTTCTAATGATATTGCTCAATCTATTGCTGAGCATCCTGGTAGTTATAAAATACGTCAAAAAGTGCTATCTTACAAAGATGTTAGCGAGAAGGACTTGTTGGATGATTATTATTATGAATATTTTTTTACCTTACATTCTATGGATAGTTTTATTTCATTATCAAAACAATGTGGGTTTGTTTCCTCATGTCTCCTAGATGCTATTGAGAAAGTTATTTATGAGGAACTGCCTGCCCTTGTTAAACAGGTTGAAGCAGTGCATTCACTCTTTTTGTGCTATGAGCAACAAAGCTGCAAAAGTGTGTAATTTAACTGCTTATTGTAATATTCAAAAAGCTGTGAATAAAATAGTGAGTATCCAAAAATTGACCGACAGTTTAAAAAATCAGTTAAAGAAAAATAGATGGAGATTTATGGTTTGTTGTATTCTGTATAGAAAACTAGATATTTTTTCTAAGTTTCAAAAATTAATACCAAAATTTATCAACAGATGTTACTGCTAATTGCAAAAGCTGTAAAACAGAGTTTTTCCAATAATCTACTATTTGCAATAACAACTTGATGCTGTCTATGGTGTGATCAAATGTGTAAACATTTAAGCTGCCCGAACAAATTTTTCAAGTGGAATAACCAGACATGAAACAAAAAACATTCTTCTATAATTTTTCCAGTTAGAAATGCCATCTGTTGACAAAATCTATTGCTAAATTTTAAAGTTGGTGAAAAAATTTTTTTTGGTGTTCGAAGCACAATACAGCAAACTATATGTTCTGTTTTTGTTTAATTAATTTTGAATATAGTCAGTACAAGCATAAGCTTGTAAATGTTTAGTTTTTATATCTATACTTTTTAGTTAAAATTAAACATTAATTCTTTTGATTTTTTTAAACCAATTTCCAAGCTTAGAATTGGAATGGTTTCTTTTTTTTTATGCGAGTTAATAATTAGGAAATAGATCTGGTGAATAAATAATACAGATCTTTCTTATTGTTACGTTTAACCTATAAATATTTTTCCATTTTCTAGATCTCTATCACTGTCTAGGGTGAAAAATCGTTTTGACTTTTCGTAATTTTTTAAATTATTTCATTGGTAAATTAATTAAAACTTAACATTTAGATGTAGCATTTATATACAAAGAACTTTAATTGATAATACTGCCTGGATAGAACGTTATTGATTCACTTGCTTTTTGAATGCTTCAAAGAATTTAAAATCACTTTAATTCTCTTGTTAATCAATTTTTAACAAAAAACACCTTTAAAGGTAAGCATTGAATTGTGCTGAGCATAATCACTGTAAATTGCTATTAAATATGCTGGTAGAACTATAGCTTTATCTTCACTAGAAATCTTATTACTGGAAGATATATGAATCATCTTAAAAACAAATATTATTACTCACTTATTACAATGTTTTACAGTAATCTAAACATAAATAAATATTTGTTATTCTATTTATTATTTTGATTTTCTTAAAAATAAAAGCATTAATTTATATAAACAATAATGCAAGGTTATTAACAATAATGCTGAAAGTCATGAAATATAATTTTTTTAACCTCACACCGATTAGTCACAAGACTGGTTGCTCAGACTGGTTGGCTATTAATGCTTTTTAAAAATCATAATTGGACGATCGAGTTCAGCACAAAACGTGACTAAAAGATATTTGAGTATGACTCAGAGATGAGGTGCCAAAGTGCGAGTTGCACACTTGGTGCTTCCAAAACTGAAGAAGGTGTGGGCGAGCAACTCCAAAATGGAAACAATGTATATTGTCTTTTTCAATGTAATAGATCTACAATGGTGTGGTTAAAAGAGTTTTTATTTCAAAAAAGGACCATCTGCGCCGCGATGGCTCAGGGGAAAAACGTTGGCCTTCCGATGAGTCGAACCGGGTTCAAATCCCAGTCGATACAAATTCCGCATCCGGCTTGCACCGACCACAGTGGTGACGTGAAATATCCTCAGTGGTGGACGGATCATGGGTTAGAGTTCCCTTGCCATCAGGCTAACCGTGGGAGGTTCTCGTGGTCTTCCTCTCCACGTAACGCAAATGCGGTTTAGCTCCATCAAAAAGTCCTCCACGAAGATAAATTTATCCCAATACTCGATCCTGGAGATCCCTTGTCTTCTGGATTGGGTTCAAAATTACAAGGCTACGGAGTTGAACATTAGTAGTCGTAAGCCCATAAAATTGGGTTGGCTGTTCAACGACGGTTATAAAGTATAAAAAAAAGGACCACCGATGCTGCTGTAACTGCCTTTTTTATATAGGTGCCTTCTACATGGATTTTTGGAAATGTTAGAAAAAGGGTCATTCTTTTATTATTGCTGCTACCTGGCTTCTGCGGCATGATCATTTTCAAGCAACATGCCTGTGTCTTTTAGTGAGTTCCTGGCGAAACATAGCATTATAATATTGCTGAAACCAAGCTACAGTGCAGATATAGCCTAAATTGACTGTTACTTTGAAGAAAGTTTATTTTGAGTGTTTTTATTGGGTGTACCTGATATGGAGAAAGTTGGAGGGGGAAATGTTTAGGTGCTCATTAAAAGAACTCTGGAAGTTATTAAAATTTTTTATTGACATCATCAATTTGTCCTTTTTAAAATAAATATATTTCTTGACTTTTGGGAGATATCCTGCATTTAATTATACAACATTTTAAGTTACAAGATAGTAATTATGTTGGAATAACTGTATACTTTTAAGAAAAGTTGCATGATAGCTATAATTACTTTTTTGTTCCAACATTTTATTTAGTAATAAAGTTATTGCTATGGGAATAATGATTTATAACACTATTTTGTGACTGAGATTGCCAATCTTTTTTTTATTATCAGATAAAATGTTTCATTTTAATTCCTATCTTAATGGACAATGTAAGTTACAAATCCAATTGGATGAAGAAAAAAACAAGTAAAAATATTGAAAAAAGGCTTATTTAAACACTTTAGACTCTTAAATTTACATAATTCCTTATATTGAAAATTATATTAATTTCCAAATATTTTTCTATCTAAAAAGATAAGAATAAATGAATTTTTCTTTTTTTATTTTTTATTAAAAATTATCTGTTAGCCCTGCAAGTAAAGAATTTCTCAGTACCTACATTTTATAGTCTATTTGCTGATAAGCAAGGGGGTTAAAGTGAACTTTAAACCCATATCATTCTTATAAATGAAATTTTCTTGTAAAATTAAATTTATTTGCATTATGAAAATATATATATTTTTTATTTTGTTTTACATTCTCTACTTATTGACAATTGTTTTTACTGTGATATGCAGAGTGTTCAATATTGAATGGATAGTTTTTAATATAAAGTGAAGTTTATGCTGATCTTTCTTGAGGAAAGTTCATTCAGACTAAAGAACTATGATGTGTGAGTATAATGATAGAATAGGATGATGACAAACTGCAATAGATAACACTTGTTTTTGAGTTAAAATTCATCATGTATTGATATAACCTTAAACATAGTTTTGGCTTCTTGTTGTTGAATCACAAGCAAGAGAGTCTCTTCAGGTAGCTAAATCCCTATATCCATAATGTTAAGATTAAGTCCCCGACCCCCCCTCCCCAAATACGGGTATGCGGGAAAAATTTTCAATTTGTTGTCGTGACAGTCTCCCACACAGCCAGAGGTGGACGAAGAGTATGTGGCACACGCACCAGCCGAGAGGCCCAGGGAAGCCCCTCCATGGCATTTATTTCGAAATATAGTACTATTTTGGCAACAGCCTGGAGGTAATCGGGCAAAAATACAAAAGTAACAAATTTACCTCAAGAATTAAAACGTTTTACATGTATAATAGTTGTGATTATTCCGACTATTAACTAACAGGTGAAGTTAAACAATATCCATATCCATAATGTTAAAACTCATCCTTTTAAATTAAAAATGTAGGCTTGATATTTTTTCTAATAATAAAATTTAAGAAAATTTAAAATACCCTTTATAGTATAGTACCTTATTCTACCATATTATGTATCGTACCCTTTTAAGATTTTTAATTTAACCTTTTTAAGAATTTGTTTGAAAGATGCTCTTGCTTGGTATTTTACAAGGATTTCTGATACACCAAAAAATCAATACAATTATATTAATAAATAATTTTTAAATGATTGTTTAAGCAAAAGATTTTTTAAAAAATTAATCTAAATTATGTTAAAAATATTAGGTACCAAAAATCAGATTTATTGAAGCCAGTTCTGTTTGTGAAATTTGCAGTTTTGCGAAAAAAAACTTCCAACAGTAAGAGCAATGTTAATGGGGGATGCAAGGAGTTTTTAAAAAATCATAAAAATACTTCAAATGGATCTAAAACAAAAATGAAAAGTGCTTTAGAATTGTTTGAATCTGAACTGCATTCGGAAGCAAAAAGTGGGATCTGTGACTTTTGCAAAAAAAACTTTTAGTTTGGCATACTTTAGTGCATTAGTTTTAAAATTCTTTACTTCTTCAAGTCTTCTAAAAAAATTTTATTTCCCCATTTCTTCTTTTTTTTCCATTTCTCCTTTTTTTCAAATTCTTCAAAAAATGTATTTAAGTAAGATTTATACTTGCAACAGGTTGCTTATGAAAATTCGTGTAAAATGTGATTAAATTTTTCTGTGTTACCAAAGACTTTGTTTTAAACTACATTTTATGAATTTTTTGTCCGATTGTGAATTCGTTGATTTTTAAGTGACCAAAATATAAAAGAACAAACAATTTTTGTTATCAGTTACAACAAATACTACTGCACTTCTTATTTATAAGATTGTGTTCTTGTAAAAATGTTTACTTCATTCATGAGCACTTTGTATTTTAAAAATATGTATTATATATTTTTTGTTTTGTGTGTCATCTGTGATATTTTAAGATGTTTTTAATTATGTTATACTAGGTTGGTATTAGCTATTATAATTTTTAAAACTTAATAATGTATATTTTATATAAATTTATATTATTTTTTCTCATAATTTATAAATTTTGTCACACTTGAATTTGTTTTTATTGCAAGATATTAAGTTAAAAAAATATATATGTGATTATTTCTTTTTATGTATATCTGTGATTTCTAAAAACATGTGATAAAGTTTTTTTCATTTCATTTGTGTTCTATGCTTTAAGTGATTAAGAGTTAAGCATTGCTTTGTGATTTTAAGGTTAAAATATCAAAGCTAATCAAGGTGAATTTTTTATACTTATTTTAATTTAAAAATATTATTTTTTATTATTAAAATATTTATTAACATTTTTTGTCAAATTTACTTATTTTTAAAAACTTATTTTTCCACAACTTAAATGTATCTCTCTAATGGTTTTTCAAATGAGAACATGTTTCTCCCCTATCAGCATGGGGAGAAAAATAATAAAAAAAAAGTGGTAAAATTTAGATTTTTTTTTTCCTTGCATTTCTATTTCATGTTTTAGGTTAATGTAATTTTTTTTTTAAATTTTAAAGTGACTATCATATACTTATAATTTTTTTATTTATCATTATATTTTGAAAGTATTTATATTTATTTTTCCAAATTTACTTATTTTTAAAAATTAATATTTTTTTATGTGATATGTGTTTTTGTGGTCGTTTTTCCATGGGGGAAAAAATGCAGGTCAAAATGGGACTTTGTATGCCTATGCTGGCCAGTAAGTTAATCCTCTTTTCAATGTTTAATAACTTTGTCTAAATAGCTATTGAAAGTAATTGTGTGTGAAAAATTTCTAAGTGCCTGTTCATTGCATTTGTGATCAAAGCAATAGCTTAATAGTAGAGATCAGTATTTTTCAACTTGACAAAATAGTAATCAACTATGTGTAAAATTCTCATAACTAAATAGTTCTTTTCACAAAATCTCTTATACGTTTTGAATGTACATTTTAGCTGGTAAAATTTAAATTTTATTAACTAGTTAAACACATTATTTTGAGCACAACTCTTACTAACAAAATTTTAGCTTTGAGCTTGAATTGGGGTGTCCATGTGTGCTATTATATCCTCATATTAATTACAAAAACTCTAAACTTTATTTTTAACAAATTGCAATGCATGATGTGAAGAGTCTCTTATTTGTTTCATTTACAATTTGCATATTTTATAGCCAAGATAGTGGTTCAATAGTGGTCTGTGTTAGAAAAAAAAATATTAGCTCCTATTTAGATGAAGAAAGCATTTTTTAAATTTTTTTTTATTTTGATGCTGAACAAGCTCAGTGGTAATACACTCGACTCTTTTTAATTCAAACGTTGATAATTTGAACTATTGAGTATTTTGGTTAAGTGATCCATAAATACTTTACATTCTGTTTAAAATAGTATTTTTATAATTTATATATTTCAATGTTGAATACTATATCAAGAATCCTGTGATCAATTAGTCATGAAATTTAATTTGAAAAATCTTGTTTTATGATATATTGTGTAGATTTTTTTATATTGTTTTAAAAACTCATTGTGTTTTATATATATTTCAATTTTTATTGCATTAGGTGACTATTAATTTATTTGTACTCGTATATTGAAGCTGTGTATAATGCACATGTTTAAATTATATTCTATCTCTAATAAAGCTATCAGTATAATCATATTTTTTTACCTTTTTTTCACTTCAGTTAAGTTTATTCTTAAGAAAGTTAATATTTTTCGGTAGTTTTTACTAATAAATTTCTTAAATTTAATTGTGATATATTACTCTGAAGTTGAATTTTGGTGGCATTGGAGCAAAAATTTAGTAGATTTTAGTACTTGCTATCTTGATCAACCTCCAATCAACACCTCATGAAATAAACATTTTGAATCTATTTCTAAAAAATTTTCATGTCAATGGAATAATTAGTATAATTATCATACTAAATTTATTGCATATTCAATTTAAATCTGATTTTATAAAATTTGTGAGAGTT